CCTATGAGAGCCATCAGTGTCCACCTGCAGCAATGGAAAGTGGTAACTAACGTTAGTAGAAAGTGGTAGAAAACTCAGGAAGCCTGGCAGTCACCAGCTGCGCCTGAGGGTGCTGCCTTATTACAGCGTAGTACAATCATGGCTGTTTGAAGAGGGGATGCAAGAACAGACTAGTGATGTGTTCTGTATCTGTAGTTGGAGAAGGCAAGAACATAAAATATTTATAGACGTTTCCATCAAAAACTATTAAATGTTTTGGCATTTAGAGGCATTCTTCGTTTATCTGGAAAATTAATTTTTCTGTTCGTGCTCGTTAAAAGAAGGATTCCTTGTGGTCCGTAAGAACCTCATCAGATTGTAGTTATTTGTACAGAAGTGATTGATTCATCAGATTATTTTCATGTGTATGTGTGAGAGAGAGAGGGCAACACTCGTTTGGTGGAATTTCAATAATTCCAAATCTTTGGTTCTGTCTAAAGCTCAGTTATCTAGATTTGTAGGTTGTTCAGGATAAATGTTATGGTAAAAAAGCATGTGTATAATTCCACATTTGAGACTCTTCTCACGTACTTGATGATGTGTTAATATTGTCTTTAGCATTAAAGTGTTTTATACTTTGTTATAATGAGCTATAATATTTTCTTACATCTTCCCAGGTAAGTCACGAAGGACGTCTATTAACCATTACTAACCATGTTTTTTGATCAGACTATGTATTGTCCGTTGTCTTCTTGACACAGTGTGAAGACATGGGTATTTACCCACGGGCTTTCTTATGTGCTCTATCTAATCCCTCGTTCTTACTTTGTACCTGCCCATCTCTTTTTGTCAGCCACTTATTTCTCTGAGGACTTCCTTTGTAACCATGTTTGCATAATTCCTCATTTGTAGTATTTCTGCTGTGCTCATCCCCACCATAAATTTCTTTGGCATTGGGGCTGACCTTCAACTGGAGTTCTTTGGAGACATAGAATGTGCCACATGACTCCTAGCCATCAAACATCGCTGGTGGAATATGAGTGTTGAAAGATGGGCCCATGTTTCAAGGGTAAATTTGAGGTCTTTACAAGGGTTGGGCAGTTTCACAAAGGGTCCAGCCTGTGCTCCTCCTCCTGCTCTGTTCTAGACCCAGCTTGCTGTCCATTGCCGTGTCGTGCTCAGATACATGTACCGACCCAACTGCATGTTATAGTCCAGGCAGTAAACATTCTTTATTCATTCAGCTTTTCCTCTGTGGGTAGTAAGGGCAAACTGTTGAGTGATGATGAATCTCATTTAGGCCCCCAGGTTAGTTTTGAACACCCTTCGCAATCTGGACCCAGCCTGCCTTTCCAGCGTCATGAGACATTGCACTCCTTCCCACACGCTGTGATCTCGCCAGGTGATTCTCTCTCTGTTCCTCACTGTGATCTCCGTGTCTTGCGCTGGCTGTGCCCTCCCTTCTTAACTCTGCAGGGGGATGCATCCCATCCCGTTCTTCCTGTAAGACAGAACTTAACTTCTTTATAAGCGCAACTTAACTGCCGTTTTCTGCATGAAGCCCTTCCAATTGCTAGTGCCTTCCTTTATGTTAAGCTTGTGAATATTTGCACGTATTCATTTTATGTTTATGCTGTATATGTTTATATATGTACTTGTCTCCCATTAGTGTATCCCTTTGAATAAGGATTGGATCCCCAGTGCCTGGCACAAGCTTCATCCTTGGTTGATGTTTGTGGGTCTCATTTAGTAACACACAGAAGGAACTTAATAATAAATGGTTGTGGAATTGAATTTTGACTGAGTTTTTATAAAGTTTTAAAAAATGTTTCTAAGAGATGCTTGTGTGTTTTATAAGAAAAGATGATATTAAATAAAGTTTTGTTATTTTGTTCTGAAGAGTTATTTTATGTTAAAAAAAAATTTTATCAGTGTAGGAATGCCCTTCACTGAGAAGTCTTTGAGTTGTCTGAGGCTCTGAGAGGTTAATTAAAACCAGCTTGAGAACGTACAATTGCAAAAAAATTTTGAAATACCTAATTGCATTTTTAAACTGATAATTAGAGTTCCAAGTCCATGTTCTCTTTTGAATTAAATGACTTCTTTCTAGTTCCTCCAGTAGGTATTTTCACATACATTAGTGACTTAATTTCCAATGTGTGAAATAAAAGATATCAATTTATTAATAACAATAAAAATACACCATACTTGCTTAGCCTTTTGTGATTTGTAAAGCAGTTTTTCAACTATTTTCTCATTAATCCTCGTAAGAACTCTATGAAGTAAATAGGAATTCTTATTTCTATTTTTGTAGATAGGGACACTGAAGGTCAGAGATTAGTCAATTGGGCTTCAAGGTCACACTGGTAGTGAATTATAGAGTGAGAGACTGGAACCTTGGTTACCTGACTCTTATATGCAAATCTTTTTCCGGTTAGACCATTACAATTGAGCCCGGTGGCCAATGGATAGAAGGCTGGACCTGGAGTCAGGAAGACCTGAGTTCAAATGTGGCCTTAGACGCTTCCTAGTTGTGGACCCTGGACAAGTCATTTAACCTCTGTTTGCCTCATTTCCCCCATCTGTAAAATGGGAATGATATCAATACCTACCAAGCAGGGTTGTTTTGAGAATCAAATGAGATAATATTTGTAAAGCACTTCGCATAGAATAGGTGCTGGATAAATGTTAGCCATTATTAACGGGTAATTCTTGTTGACTGGAAGCAGCAGTATTTTTTGGTACAAAATGTGTGTAACTTGTTTTTGTTTTTCTATTTATCATACGCTTACCAAAAACTGTGCATTATTATAAGAGCTAGAGATACAAAGAAAAAAAATAATCCATCTCCTTAAAGAGTTTATATTTTGCTAGAAGGATTCACATGTGCATAGAAAAGTAAGTTCAAGGCAGTTTGAGAATGGATATAGGGTGTGGGGAAAACTTAACTTGGGAGGTAGAAGCCATATCACTTGAGAAGGAAGATAAGGATCCTTAAAGGCACACCTGTATGGGATTACATTTCAGGCATGAGGATAGCTTAGGTGAGTGCACGGGGCAAGAAATGAGTGTCCAGAATAAAAGAATCACTCTGGTCCTGTTGTAGTTTGATGTGAAATGTGGCTGGAAAGATGGGTGAGAACCAGAGTGGAGGGCTCCTGTGTAAGCTGCTTATATGTGTTTGTTTACATTGGGAAAAATGAGAGTGACTTTAACATTCAAGTAACTTTGAAGTGTGTTCAGAGGGTTTTTGTTTTGTTTGTTTTATTCATTTTCTTTGAATAAACATTTTATTGAGCACCTGTATTGTATGCAAAATACTACACTAGCTGTTGGGGCTCAAAGATAAAAAACGATAGTCTGTGTTCTCAGGGAATTGTAGGTGGATGAGTGTGCAAGTGTGTACAAAACAAAACATTGATGCACACAACAAATTGGGGCCACTTAAACCCCTTCGCTGTACAAATTATATAGTGCAGTGCAACAAAGTACAGATTGCAGTCTGAAAGCTCCCACCCCTCCCCCCATATTGTTTTTCCTGGAATAATAAAGCAAGATGTTTGCTATATCTGGTCCCATTACAGGTGTTTTGAAATTTTTAAGTTACTTTGATGTTGGGGGGGCCGGGATCAAAGTCTCATATCACAGGTACTTTAGAAAGTGAAAGCATTTGCAACCATACTAGATCTGGAGACATTATGTCCTTTTAAAACTTTCTCCTGTTTTTTTCTGTGTGTTCTTACTTTGTGAGCTTTTGGAGGCAGTGTTATTTGCGTTATTGCCTCACTCTACCATATGTGTGTGTGTGTGTGTGTGTGTGTATCTGTGAAGCACTTTTTATCGGTGCCTCTTTTACATTATACTACATTACATTTATTTGTGCAAATGTCTTAGCTGTCCTAGACTGTAAATCAGAGGTATCAAACTCACCTGCCTTCAGGGGGCTAAGAAAACTCCTGAGTACTGCAGCAATCACATTACAGTGCAATTGGGAAATGTTTAACAAAATAAATAAAAATATAATACAACATAGATAATGCCAATTTGTGGCTTTTTTGGTAAGTATGTGGCCTTAAGGCCTCCATTTCTGTTTGACTTGGACACCCCCGGCTATCTATAAATCGCCATCTGAGCAGGGGCTCTAGTTGTTCTTTTTTGGATCTTCACACAGTGTCTAACACAATTCAGGGACACCTAGTGTTCTCCCATGTATGGTTTTACAGTTTGCATGCTAGTAGATTGAATTGTTGTTTAGTTGTGTCCAACTTTTCCAAACCCTATTTGGGATCTTCTTGGCAAAGAAAACCACTTCAGTAAGTGGTTTTCCATTTTCTTCTCCAGCTCATTTTACAGATGAGGAAACTGAGGCAAACAGGATTAAATGACTTGCCCAGGGTCATATGGCTAGCAGCTAGGTGGTGCAGTGGGTAGAGTGCCTGGCCTGGAGTCAAGAAGATGTGTCTTTTTGAGTTCAAATATAATCTCAGATGCTTAATAGCTGTCACTGAAACCCTGTTTGCCTTAGTTTCCTCATCTGTAAAATGAGCTGGAGAAGGAAATGACACACTATTGCAGTATCTTTGCCAAGAAAAGCCCATATGGGTCACAAAGAGTCAGACATGACTGAAAACAACTGAACAACAGCGAGATTGAGTTGACTTGTTATCCAAGAAAATGGATCCTATATTCAGCTAACTCCACTTGATGCTTAAAAAAAAGGATGTATTCTATTAAAACTTTTCTGCTAATGGTTCTGTTACTAAATCAGGTTGGACATTAAGGGGCTCGGGTTTGAAGTAAATCAGAACCTTTTCAGGAGATGATTAAAACCTTGGTACCTTCTGATTGTTTTAAATAAGTGAAAGAAAGCTGCAGCAAATTGTACATCTTCATTTGTTGGGACAATGGAAAAATGGAACCATGAATGAAGAAACTCTTTTTAACTGCTGAAGTGGTGGGAGAGAACTTAAAACACTTAAAAATTAGTTCCTTTTCCTCATGGGCTTCAAATTTTTCCTCAGGCACGTGACCCCAGAAAAATTTTACATAGAGCCTTGTGATGATCGAGTGGATGATGTGCTTGCCATTGATCGAGTCTCCACAGAGGTTACCCTCACAGGTATGCAGAGAGTGGGAAGGGGAGGTCGCATAAAATGTGACAGTCAGGAAAATCCCAAATAGCGTTGAGTGGGATGAGGATGGCTTTCAGAAGATGCCTTATCACAGTTTTCTATCTATGCTTTTCTATTTAGACATATATGTATTAGTACCTTACTTAATTTTGTATAATATCTAAAAGAAAAAACACTATTTGAAGAGTTTCAGGTTGTCCCTTTTTATTGAGTTGATCATTTAAAAATATAGTTATTTCTGTGTTTATAGGAGGAAGATTGTAATTGATTAACATTCATCCAGTGTAATTTATAGGGTATTAGCTGATAGGATTTTAGTATGTTTTTGTTTGTTTGGACATTTTTTTGATTATATGGGATCACTGATGATGAGGTTAGTAAATGAAAATTACTCTCATTCTCATTGGAATGCCATATTGAGGTAGCCAAAATGTTGTGTAGTTGGGTTTGCTTCTCTGTGTATATTTCAGTCTTGTATCTAAGAGATGAACTTGCTTTTCTTTTCTGGGTGTTAAATGTACTAAATGTTTTATTGGTAGATTACTGGTAGATTAGCAATTTAAAAAATTATTATGAACTTAGACATTAAAAAAAAAGACAGACATTAAAAAAAGCATTTCTGTACAGAGAGCAGAATACAAAAAGAGATTCTGTATCAAACTGTGAATCTGTTAACAAATTAAGCTTTGTAATACAAACCTTAGAGGGGCAAGACTTAAATCTGTACACAAGAATGAAATATTTAAATGGTGCTTTCCAAACTCATTGGGCCTCTGAGCACCTTTGTATGTATTAATGGAACCTGTGTACTGCTACATATGGAGTATCCTCAGGAGAATCTTAGGAAAAATAGAGGAAGTTAAAACTTATTTCCACATGAAGAAATTGCTACACGTGATACAGAAGTTGCACATAATTTTATATCTAATATAAAAACAATGTCATTAGCACTTAAACTTTTCTTCCAGAATCCCTTCTCACATTAGGTATCACCAGATGGAAACGTTTGTTGTTGACCACAATTTTTTATTATCACAATCTCATAGGAGGAAGGGACCTTGGACACCAACTAGTCCAACCCATCTCTGAACCCAAAACCCCCCCAGCAGAATATCTCACGTGTGGTCGTCCAGCTTCTGCTTGGTGGAGACCTGGTGAGAGGAAATCCAGAGTTTTCCAGAGAAAGGCATCCCATTCTAGTTTTAGATACCATTAGTTGTCTGGAAACTTTTACTTTATTATCAAACTTAAATCTGCCCATTTGCGGCTTCCCCCCTTGGATGGAAAGTCATGAGACCTTTCAGAACTGCCCTTGTCATCTAATGGACACTGTCAAACTTAAAGTGTGCCCAGAACTGAAAATAATGGAGAGTCATAGGAAAAGCAGGCCTAACTCTTTGATTTCCTTGCATGCCTGAGGTGGGGACTTTGTTTTTGAACCCACATAATCCTATGCCCAAGACTTGGGTTCTGATAAGAATCTGGGGTTAATTTTAAGCCCAGGCAAGTTTGACCTGTATAGGTACTACATTTGCACAGTGGGATTAAGATGCAGGCCTCGCTCCTGTGTATTTTCCAGTTGCTGCTGAGCAGCGCTTAAGTTTTTGGCAAAGCTGGTGAATAAACCTGGCGTGGGAGTGGCCCACAAATTACTGAAGGATAACTGAAGATTTCTTATGGTTGGCACTTTCTTTTAGGCTGGCAGAATTAACTTTCCTTTGGTAGTTGACCAAAATGGGGGCCATTTTAATTTAATGATGATGATTTAATTAAACTAATTTGAAACCAAACTAAATCTGAATTCTGGATGTTTAAGTATTGTCTTTTGGTGACATTCTCATTGATCATTCTGCCCAAGTCTCACTCCTCAGTCCGTCAGGGTGGTTTTTCTAAAGCACAGGCTTGACCATGGCTCTAACTCCTTTACTGAGTAAAAACTCTCGTGATTCCTGTCATCTCGGAGATGGGAAATGAGTCCCTTTGATATAGGTTGGCCCCTTCTGACCTCTTCAGTTTTCTTAAATGTTATTCCCTTCCACCTGCACTGTCTCCCATCTCCATGGCTTTGCCCTGGCTGCCTCCCGTGCATGGAGTCCTTTTCTTCTGTACTGCCACTTCTCAGAAGTGCATCCTTCAAGATGCAGCTCAGATTCCACTGCAGGAGGCTTTTCCCCGTTCCACCAGCTGCTAGGGTCTTTCCCTCCAAAATGACTCTCCATCTACTTTGTATGTGGCTTGTGGTTGCCTGTCTTTTTACATGTGGGCTTCTTGAGGGCAGGGACTGTTTTTGCCTTTCGGTTTTTGTTTGTTTTTTTTTTTTTAATAAATTTTATTGATCTCTTTTGTTTTTATATTGCCTTACTATTTCCCTGTATTCCTTTGCTTTCTTCTCTGAGAGCCATCCCATAAAACAAAGAATTTTTTAAAAGAAAAAGAGGGAGCAGCTAGGTGGCGCAGTGGATAGATCACCAGCCCTGGATTCAGGAGGACCTGAGTTCAAATCCGGCCTCAGACACATAACACTTACTAGGTGTGTGACCCTGGGCAAGTCACTTAACCCCTTTGCCTAGCCAAAGAAAAAAGAAAAAGAGGAGGAAGAGGGAAAAAAAATCAGGAAAACTGATCAAGATATTAAAACAATCTGAAAATATTTGCAGTGTTCTACCCACTGAACTTCCCACTATTCTAAAAGGAGTAGAGAGAAGTGTCCTCTGCCTCTACTTTGGTTTATCTTTCTTTGTAATCCCAGCACTTAACAGAGTGAATGCTAAATAAATGCTTGTTGATTGATTCTTCTCCTTCTGTTTAGTGAAGAAAGATGTTCCTCCATCAGCTGTTACAAGGACAATATTTGGTATCTTGGGCACAATTCGACTGGTAGCAGGTAAGAAAAATTAGCTGGATTGTGTAAGTAAGAGACCTGATAGAAGTTGCTTCTAGCCGATTATAAGGTAATAGTTATGCTGCATTTTTTTAATGAGTCTTGGGTAGTAATTTACTGTATTAGATTAGCAATTTGTGATCATTGTACTTTGAGGCTGAAAGTCATACTATACATAAGATTCATGCCTTGTTTGTCAGCCTAAGGCTACACTTTAAAACATTCTCTTTGGAATTTTAATTTGAATTGGGATTTTTGGAATTCCTAAGCTGTCAACTTTAAATTCTTGGTGAATCCCAAGTGTTTTTTTTTTCCTCAATTTAAAAATTTTTTTTAAGTTATAGTAGTGGAATGGATGCAGAGAGCAAGGATTCGATTAGAGGTTATAGGGGCTTTACCAGCTCTATCTATCCATCTTTGTAACTTGCTACAGTTTTCATGTTTATACTTGGGGATGCTGCACCCTTATATCCCTTTCCTAGTTAGCCCTGGTAACTTGGATTGATTTTTTAGCCCATTCCAGACAGGCAATAACGTGTCTCCCTATTGAAAGAGAAGATCAAACCCTCTTTCCTTCCACCCAGACTTTCTGTTCCACCCGAACTTGTGCCTAGCTCACATGGAAAATCTCTCTCCTAGCCAGTGGACAAACAGCATTGTCACGAGCCCAAACACTTCTGCCCACTATTTTGAAGGCTTTGTAGGAAAGGCTCCACCTGAGGGCACATGGGCTGTTGCCTCTCTTGCTCCATGTATATTGGATCATCGAGATGGAGTCATGGGTTCTTCTCATATCTCAAGCCTTGTTCCCAGACAAACCTGTGTGCCCTGGGCAACAAATTGTATGAAATGAGTGGCCGTTGGTACTCTTTGTGCCGGGATGGAGGATAGGATCTGTTGCCTTGTCTCTCCTTTCCAGATAATAGTCTGCTTAGGTTACTACATGTTGTGCTCTCTTTTCAGAGGTACCATGACCTTTCATTTGGCATTTAAATGAACAAAATGGATAGTTCATGTTTTGGAGCTGTTGTGTTTTGGGGAGAGGGATGCTTGGCCCCGTATTTTGTCAGGATACAGAACTACTGATTAGGAAACTGTCAATGCAGAACAGGTGATACCTGATCTGTAACTTAGAGAATTTCCTGGGGCCACGTCATCGTGGAGGGAAGGTGACTCACCTGGTATCTGACCACCTCTGCCCCATTCACTCTACTATACTGTCTCTCACATGTTCATAAACATACAAGTCCCAAGATGTTTTAGGATGGCTCTTATTTCTAATCTCTTTTTTTTTTTTTTTTTGTTAGAAAAATTAAGATGGTTATTATCTGCTTTGGAACTGCTTTTTTTAATAGCTCATGTGTCTTTGCTTTTATAGGTAGTTATCTCATTGTAATTACCAAAAAGAAAAAAATAGGCGAATTTTTCAATCATGTAATATGGAAGGCAACAGATTTTGATATCCTTTCCTATAAGAAGACTGTGCTGCACTTAACTGATATTCAGGTAGGAGCCCATTAATAAAAAAACTTTTTCTCTTTTTTTAAAGGCTGGGGAAGTAGGAAGAGTAGTGAGAAGCAACTTCTAAGACTCTTTAATCTAATTATCAAACATTCCCTAAAGTTAAATTTAAACTATTTGGCCTTTGGGTATTTTTAAGAGATTAATTACATTGTGCTACTTTTGTGCCACACATTTGTTTTACATTCATGTAACCATAAAGGATAACAAAATATTGTGTATTTGCTTGCTGATCTTCGTCCCAGATTTAATCTTATATAATATCTGTAGTCTTACTACTACTTTAAGTTAAATCACATTTTTATTTGAACTAAGATTACAAGGCTTTTTCTTGTTTTTAGTTTTTCTTTTTTTAAAAGAGAAATTACTCCTAAAAAAACCCGTAGTTTTTATATGATAAATTTTCAAACTTCCTTTAGCTTTTTAAAAGAAAATCAGTACTATTTCATTGACAGTGAAAATATAGGATAAATTGAAGATATCTTTGGTTTGCTTCTAAATAATCTTACTTATGGCTGTCTCTAAATAATCAAAGTTTAAGAATGAGCAAGACAGTGTGAGACTTAATTACAGCCCAGGCAGGGGTCGTCATGAAGTCAGTTACTGTTAGAAAAACTTTTTCCTTCATTAGACTTTCATCATTGGGCCTTAAGACCTTTTTATTTTCATATTTTAAATATTAGTCTCGGATTCTTATATATGTGCTAAATTTAGGACATGAATGAATGAAAGAGCATTTATTATATGCTCACTGTGTGCGAAGCTCAGTGACGAGAGCTGGGGTTAGTTAGAAAAGCAGGCCTATCTCTTTCCCTCGAGGAGCTCATAGCCTTATTGAGGAGATGGCGCCTGGAGGGAGACCTTCATGAAGAAGCACATTTTAAAACAACAAAAGGAGCATGTTCATATGATGGCTTAATCGTGCTTAATTTCCATTATTCTCAAAACATTAGATGATAGTTTCTTTTTTGACATACATATTTATGAGGTTATGCCATAACCAACATGATAATTGAAATCTAGGTGCCTTTTGATTTTTCATATGTCATTTAGAAAAGCGTAAGGCCCTCAGGTGTTCTATCAATATATTTATTATCTTAAATGAAACATCATAAGACAATAATATTTTACCAGATATAATGGCTGAAATAAAGATCAAAATGCTTAGGAAGTCATTCAGTGTTTGTAGATAGGTAAGATTAATATAGTGAAAATAGCAATGCTTCCCAAATTAACTGACATTTAATATAATGCCAATTCAAATACCAAGGAGTTTCTTCATAAAATTAGATAAAATTATAATAAAATTGGTATGGAAAAACAAATAGACAAGACTATCAGAGGGAAGACTGGGGGAATGAAAGGGCAGGTTAAGGTGATGTTGCACTCTGACTTTAAAACTTAATTTTTCAAAAGTGGTTATATGTCTTGTATTGGGCAAAAAATCAGAAAGTATGCCAATAGAGTAAATATATCAGAAATGCAACCAAATGCATACCCTAAAAAATAACGTTTGAAAACTTACAGGAAATAAAAACTGGAGGAAAGTTGCATTATATAACAGATGTACTTGGCAAAAAACATTAGCAGTTTGGTAGGAGCTCGATTTAGATTCGTATCTCAGACCACATATTTTAGTCAGTTCCATAGATGACCAACTGAAGCATATGGAAAAAAAAAAGGAACGATGGATTTTGTACACCTTGTTTTTCTCTTTTTATGCTGTGAATGTTTGTTTTTTCTCTGTCTGGTAGCGTGATTTCAACTCCTGCTTTCTGGATTCATCTGATGTGTAGTAAATTTTATTCTGACCCCTCATTTTTATTCTGTTATGTCTTGTTTTTTCATGTGTTTCTTTTATGCAACAAACAGTAGTGTTTTTTCTTCTCCAGTATGTCACTTTTTTTGGTTTGATTATGTTTAATCCATTCATATTATGAGAGTTAAATTTATCTTTTCCTCCAAGTGACTCTAATACTCTTTTATTTTCCCCCTGAATTAGAATTTTTTTCCTTCTCTTCCTCTGTAAGCACAATACTTTGTCTCTTCTGTTATTTTAGCTTAATCTACTTTAAAGCAACCTTGTCTCCAGTGTCTCTCTTACCTTCTTCTTCAACATCTTCTCCCTTCCCCATCTAGATTATTTTGAAGTTTTACTTATTAGTTCCTTTGTCTTTCTTCCTTTCATCTAGTTGAGTCTTCACCTCTTTTCCCTTCTCACTTAAGTAATCAAGTAAAATCTCCCTTCTTTTCCTCCTCCCCTTCAACTTGTTTTGCTCATTAGTTTTTTAATTTAATTTTCTATACCTTTTTCTAAAAAGAATTTATCCTTGTTCACTTTGTTATTTATCTTACCTTTTTATCTATTCTAGACTTTTTTTTTCTTTGATTCATGGTCCTTATACTCACTTAGCCTTTCTTTAATCTCCATGTTCTTCATGGAAATCTATTTTGGGTTTCTTCTTACAGTTTCTGTGTTCATTCCCCCACCTCATCCTCTTTTTCTATTGTGCTTTTCCCTTAAAAATAGCAATTTCTGAAGGTGATAAAGAGGACATTGCCCCATGGTAGGAATTTTTCTTTGTTCCTGATTGTACAGATCATTATTAACCTTTGCCCTGTCCTGTGGTAATTCTCTCCTCCCTCCCCTCCACCTTTCCCCATTTGCCATGAAATCTGCTCTCTGGGTCTATGTCCTCTCACTCTTCTGGGTATCAGTTGCCCCTCGGAGCTCCGATGCCCCCTTTTCTGAGGTGGATGAGTGTCTTTTCTAACTAACAGATCTCTGTAGATTATACCCATTGTAAGATCCCGATTTTCATTTATACGATCTCTCTCTCTCTCTTTTCCCCCATGGAAACCTTCATCAGAGTACCCCATCTCACTACTGAAACAAGATTTTCCTCTTTCTTTCCCCTATTTCAGTCCTTCCGTTTGCCTCTTCTCTTGCTCTCTTGTTGACCCTCTTCTACCTGAGAGGCTACAGCAGTTATTGTTCCTTCATTCTTAACCTTTGATTTGATTACTGTACATTACTTGTTTTCCTCTATCTTCTGCCTCTCCCCTTTTTTTGCACACTCCCATTCTGTAATTTAATCCCACAAAAATATTGATTCACTTGTAGGCCAAGGGTCTTAAAATAAAAATTTGTTTAAAGATTCCTCCCTCCTCCTGAAACATTCTTCTTTAGACATAATGAGAACCCTTTACCATCTCATTTTATTCATCCCTGTCTCCAGTTACAGGACAACAAGACCTTCCTTTCAATGATAAACCACGTCTTGAGCATGGATGGGTTTTACTTTTCAACAACATATGATCTGACACATACTTTACAACGGTTATCCAACACCAGTCCAGAATTTCAAGAAATGAGTCTGTTGGAAAGGGTAAGTTTCTTGTTGAATAGCCATCCTTTCTGTCATGATCAGTTTATTTTATATAGTTATGGTGAGCATGATTGGAAATCTAGGTTTAAAATGCGTATAGGGTAGCCATTTAAAAGAGAACGCTTCTCAGTGTTTTTATTTTCACAAAATTGAAACAAGGTTACCAGTAATGTATCCCTGGGAGTTAAATCTAAAAATACCACTTCCAATTTTTCATTTGTAATGCCTACATAATTATATTTATATAATGACCTTACATAATATGGCTCTTTCCTCCTACCTCCTGCCTTTACCTTTGAAGTAGTTTAAGCCTGTCATTTCACAATGCAATCTGTTAAACTTGCAATGTAATTTAGAACTCTTTATCTAGTTAGTCTGTTTAGGGCTTCCAAACTGCCGCTCGGAGTTCTGGATGTCAGAATATGTGGTAATTACATTATACTTGTTACCAGTTAGGAACAGTGCTACTGATATTAATTTTAAATTATATATAAAACTGTCTGTATTACATGTAGCCAAAACAGCTATAGAAAACTTGTTTTCATTTTGTAAAAAGACTATTATCTAATTTTATCTGATATTTAGGGTAAATTTCAGGATTTGTTTGAGGAACCAAGCAGTTCAGAGTTTTGACTGTGGAGAAGTTTTTAACGCTGTAACTTTTTTTCAAAACTCTAATTTCCATTTGGCCATGAGATTATCATAAAAATTTTGCATCTTTTTTATTAAATTATTAAATTAATTTTTCATTTTATTACTTTTATCTTCTAATAGGCAGATCAACGTTTTGTATGGAATGGTCATCTTCTTAGAGAATTATCTGCTCAGCCGGAGGTAATGCGTGCTAGAGATATTTGTTAATAATTCTAACGCACTTCTAAGATGGTCAGCAAATAAAGTCTATTCCCCTCATTTCTAATATATAGAACATGATCTACTTTGGAAATTTGGCAGAATTTGACTTCAAAGGTAATGAGAAACATATACCATGTAATCACTGGAAAAAAAATAATAAGTAGGTAACTGTACTTTTTCCAATATCAGTAAACTCAGTAGAATCCAGATGCAAGAGCAGAAGAAAAGGGAAACTGAGTCCAGCCAGTGACCCATTCAGCTGAGTATTCTTTGCTTTGACAGTGACCTGAGGTGTTCTTGTTTTCTGTGCTGCTGACCTCAAATATCCATAATTTCCTTTAATAATCAATATTCCATGAATTTCTCTAAATTGTTTTCAAACCCTTGATATACTATGTAACAAGTTCTTTAAATTTATTTCCCACTTTGCAAAGTGGAAAATAAAATTCTTTGATTTATTTTGAAGAAACTTCATTCTTCCAGAGACAACCACCCTTTTACATTCTTTATGTAATCTTATAAAATTAGCATATCCCATCTCAGCCTTAATCTTTCTAAGCTGAAGGTTTAATTGTTTGAACAGACTCTGCTCATTCAGAAACTTTAATTATAAATACACAGCTTCCTATGGGTGTGAGATTATATTCCTTTCTAATTGGTGGGTGTCAATAGATAGCAGAATAAATTTTTAGATATCTTTTGACATAAATTTTGTAATAAAATCCTTTTGCAACAGTTGAGCTTAATTTTGCATTTTTCAGAACACAACCTGTGTTTATCCACTTGGCAGTGGAAATGTGCCTCCCAGACCCATTAGTTGTTATCTGTCTGTGTGGACTGGTCAGCATGACTGATCCTTTTATAATTGTGACCAGTTAAGTGGAAAGTTATGGTCAGAAGGGTTTTGTAACAGCTTTGCTCCCCTGTGCACAGCTGCCCAGGTGCTGACGTTTTCTAAGGAAAACTCATTTGCAAATATTGGGCTATTCAGGAAAGACACTTTGCCAAATGGAACCACTGCCATGTTTGTCCATACTCACCCCCATGCAGAACAGCAGTATCCTTCTTTGTAGAAGTTAGGAAACATGTTTCAAGATTGATTTATTATATCCAGAGGCACTTGTCTAATTTTTTTATTTTTCTAATTTTAAAAAAATGGTTCATTCCATTAGTAACAAATATCAGTGATGAGCATAGGACCTTAGCTCTAATGGTTCTTCATAAGATCATTGATTATGTTGGTATAAATAGGTCCTCTGTCTGTGCTGATTCCAGTGCCTCAATGGTAGTGATAGATTTTTCATGAGTTGCCATGACTAAAAAATATGCTGCTGGTCAGCCTTCTTAATGATAATATCAGTTGCATCTGCCTCACAGGATGAAGGGTATTCTCAAATGAGATAACACTTTGCACATTGTAGTGTGCTGCATCTGCTGTAAAATGTCTATTGCTTTTGTTGTTAGCTGGGCACATTCTTAGATGGCGCTGTAGATGGCACTGTCCTGCTTGCCAGAACTCAAGAGTTACCTCGGTTTCATATTGAGTCATCAGAATTGGACTTAGGTAGATGAATTTTAATGATAAATAGAACTCAGTGACCGTAAAGGGAGTCTTTTCTTGGTGGCTAACTTTGATTCATTCTAGACTCTCTCAAAGCTTACTATTTTTATATTATTTTATTTTGGAGGGGAGGCAAACAAGGTTAAATGATTTGCCCAGGATCGCATAGCGAGAAGGGTCTGAGATCACAGTGGAGCTCAGATCCTCCTGACTACAGGGCCAGTGCTCTATCCACTGTGCCACCTAGCTGCCCTAGGTCTATTGTTTTTAAGTAATATTTATTACTGATCAAAACTTGAGATAGTTGAAAAACCAGGTATTCTAAATCTGTTTTTAACATTGTTAGCCCAGTTTATTAGGACCAGGAATTCCATTGAGCACCACTGCCTGAGAATTTAAAAAATCATTCCTTGGTTGAGAGGCTTCCCTGGTATTCCTAGAGTTTCTTCTACCTAGTTTTGCAATCCTTCCTACTTTCTTTACTGTTATAGTTACAATTAGCTTAGCATTTGTAAACTCAAGGTCATCTTGAGAAATGCTCATGATAAGTGATACTTACAAAGGTTTCAGGACCAAATGAGTAGCAGAAGGACTTCAGTCTGTATAGTATGAATGAAAGGCTGTGTGTGTGTGTGTGTGTGTGTGTGTGTGTATTTTTTTCCTTTAAGTATAATCAAGCACTATGATAGCATATTTAACTTATTTTGGTTTTATAGTATTAGTGAGAAAAAAACAAACAAACCTCATTTAGCTTCCCAGGTTTATTCTTTGCGTATTGGTTGCTAAAAGCTCACTATTTTCAGTCCAGAGCCTTCTGACTCCAGTGATGGACCTGGGTATTCTAGAATTGGGAAGATACTGGTGTAGGAAGGACTGGAAAATGGAGCCACTGAGCCAGCTCTTGAAACCCATCCTGTGCCCTCTTTTGTGTCAACACTGACTTAGTTCTGCAGTTGTCTAGTTCCTAAGGCCTGAAAAGGCATAAGGTGCCTTTTGGTAACAGTTGGAGCATTTCCAGCCACAGCTGCCATGATCCCTTTAGTCTTGGGGCTGCAGGCAGACAGCCATAAGATGTGGATGCCGTAGGGGAGGATGCTGGCAGAGTTAGGGTGGGGAAACACTGAGTTTCAAGAGAGGTACAGGTTAAAAGTCGAAGAGAGTAGCGGTAGAAAATGTTCCTGCGTCTTTTAAGGGACTTTACATTACGTTTCTCATCTTGGCTCCAAAACCTTTCCCTCAGAAGAGACAATGAATAATGTCTATTATCCCTTTTCCTCAGTCAGATAAACTCAGATGTAGACAAGGAGGCACAGTTGGGGTAAAGTGATACTGTCAGGCCAAAAAAGATGTACCTAATTGCTTAATTTATTTTTCCTTTCCTTTATTGATAAAAATGATTTGACCAGTAAATAGCATGTTGGGTGTGTTTTCTAACAATATGCAGGGAAGGCAAAGGAGAAGAGAGGATAGGTATAAATATTGTATAACTTTTCAGTCTCCTTTGTATGCTAATCTCTATTGAAAAGTAAACTACTGAATTATATTTTAAAAATATGACTAAAACATCATTATTTTTAAACTTTCAGGTCCATCGGTTTGCTCTCCCTGTCTTATTTGGATGTATCCTTACATGATTGTGAGATTTTTAGCATTCTAGAGATTTTTATCCACATCATTCATTTAAAGAAAATATAAAAAAATCTCAGGTTTTTTTCAGTATAATTATGTAGAATTGACATCAGAAAGTGTTGGTGGGGGAACATCAGCATGCAAAATTGGAAAATAAGGCACTAAATAAGTAGAGATATAGATGGACTGGCTCTTACTTTGATGGCTCATCAAAATTGTGGGTATTTGTAGAGGACCTGGAGAAAGTGAGAAAAATTTTAGTTGAAGATATTTTCCCCCAATTTCCTTAGGAAGGAACATCTAAAGTTGTCAGAAAAAAAATAAAACCAAATGGCTACCTTTTTCCTCCCTTAGAACTTTTTTTCAGCCTGGCAGAGCATTATTATACTCATTTTCTCAGTGAGGACATTGAGGCCCAGAGAGTTTGTGACCTGGCAAGATCACATGGTTAGTAAATGACTTGAATTGTTGTTGTTGTTCAGTTGTTTCAGTCATGACCAATTCTTCGTGGCCCCATTTGGGGTTTTCTGGCAGAGATACTGGAGTGGTTTGCTGTTTCCTTTTCCAGCTCATTTTACAGATGAGGAAACAGACAGACAAGGTTGAGGGACTTGCCCAGGGTCACACAGCTACTAAGTGTCTGCGGCCGAATTTGAACTCAGCTTCACGTTTTCTCTCTCTCTCTCTCTTTTTCCCCCCATAAGTATATACATATAAATTTATTTACATGTACATGTGTTTATATACATGGGGATTGTGCTTCATGTTTAATAGACCAAACCTAGGTTAAATTCCTGTTTCTGCAAAAATAGTCTTGCCTGACTTAGAGCTTGCTCCATAAATTTTCGTTTGCTTTGCTCTTCCTCATGTGCACACCAGCTGTTGTAGCCGACTTAATTTTGTCATGGAGTGTGTGAGTAGTGACCTAGTTGGCATTTTCCATGTTCAGTAGCTAGGTATGTTGTTCTCTGTTTTTAGTTTCATATTGGATAATCCATTTTTTTCTTTTTAAAATTGCTTTCACATTTTCCTGAATGGATGTACTGGAGCTAATGGGCTGGCAGCTGGATTTTCAAAGTAGGGCTCATTTCCTTGATGAATTTAATATTTTGGTCTCTTCTAGGGACCTAGAGAGGATATTAGGCAAGCTGATAGCACAGGAGGGTATTGCATCTTACGGCTGTGAACTCTTCCCCTCCTTAAGCCTTTTCCTCAAAGCAGACAGTATATAGTAGCCATTTCACACAGATAAACTAAAGATATAGATAAGGAGACATGTTTGGGGAAATGTGATATTCTGTAGGTGGAAGATTTACCTAATTGCTGAATTTATTTTTCTTTTATTTGCAAATCAATAAGCAGTTAAAAAAGAAAAACCTCAGAACACCACCTCCCCTAAATAATATTTTGAAATAATTATTACTTGAGTTAGGTTCTTTAACATTTCCTAGTTTAGCTACAAATGCCTAAGCTGGGTTGTTTAATTTATTTGCCTACTTAAATAAAAAACAAACAACAAACAAAAACCCTGTGATTTGATTGTTCGGTTGGCTCGGTCCAGTTTGTGTCATGGATAAAAGCCCCTCCCTGTCCCCACTTACAGTTTCTGTAGTTGCCGTGGCCAAAGTAATTCACCCTGTGATGGCCAACCAACAGTTGTTAAAGCTCTTCCAAGTCCATGAAGCTGGCCATTGGATTACAGACAGAGTTCTGTTGCTCAGCCTCTTCTAGAAGTTATTCCAGCTTGTCCTGCCTGGAAGAACGTGCATGCTGCTCACGTGGCCTTGAAGAACCCTGGGACTCACCCGGGGAGGAGGCATCAGTCAGTGCAGGACTTGAGGGGAAGGGCCCACCAGCTCCTCAGAATCAGGCATGAAGTGTTCACAAACACATGAAGACGAAAATAAAGAGTGGTGACTGTTTATATATAAGTCATCGTGAAGATCTGCATTTTTTCTGTCCTTTCAGTTTTGAAAATAAGGTCCTTTGCTAAGATCACCATTTGAATGAAACCTGAACATATTCATGTGTCCTTTCTGTTTTGTGTTTTTCTTAATGCTTTTAAAGTCATCACTATGCACTCTTGTTCCATTAATGGAAAATATTTTGATTGGATTCTCATCTCGAGGAGGAGCTGCTTCCGAGCTGGCGTGCGTTATTATGTGAGAGGTAAGATTCAGCTCTCTGGCTCTTCCCAAAGTCACCATCTGCAGGGGAAACCATGATGAGGCTTTCGGGTTGTTAGAGGTGACAAATTTAACTTTTCATGTTCAGCTGATTTTCATTATTATTTATCTTGTGCTTCAGTGTCATAATCAGGTAGATTCTCTAATCTAATCCCATAAGCATTTATTAAGTGCTGCTACATACTAGGCCCTGTGCTAAGTGCCATGGATATGGTTAATGAAAAGAAAGGCAGGCCCTGCTCTGCTTATAACCTAAAGGGGGAAACAATCCACCAAAGGAGGCGGGAATGCTGGTGAGGACAGGGGAGGGGAGGACCCCCAGGGAGTACGGGGGCATCTTATCCCTTGGAGGTGAAACCGAGCAGGGCAGCAGATACAGAGTGGAGGAGCTAAGAGCTCAGGCATCGGGAGGAAGGGAGAGGAGGCCAAAGGATGTGGTATCAGTCAAGGGTGGAGTTAACAGCTGGGTGATGCAGTGTCTGATACACAGCAGGCGCTTAATTAATGCTCACTTGTTTGTTTGATTATACTGTTGGCTTCAGTGTTCAATGGTAGGCTTCCCTTCACTGTTAGAAGAGAAGGATTATTGTGTTTTACTGCGAGCATGAAAGCAGAATCAGAACTAGAATTACCTTCCATGAATTCAACCATATACCAGAGAGCAATTGTGTTAGCCTTCCATCATGACTTATGCTTTCAGTTACTGATTGCTTTAGCCCTTGCCCTGTGGGAATGCCTGGGTTTTTGTTAGCTGCTTCACATTCGTTTTGCCCTGTTTGAAAGCTCAGTTGTATCTGAGTCACTTCTTCAGTGCTTCACTGTTCTGGGAGCTCACCCAGGTGGGTGTTCACTCCAGGAGTGTCAATCACAGACCAGCCATGACTTTTCATCTTTATTGGGACATTACACGTATGGTGGTATTGAAAATTCCAGCAAAATTTTCCATGTGTGTCATTAAAAACAGCGATAGAATGTTAAGAGCCTTAGATTACCCAGCCTACCCTCTTATTTGAAAGATGAGGTCATGGCTATCTAGGAATGAAAAGGGACTTGCCCTAAAAGGTTCCTTAATTAGTGAGTGGCAGACCTGGGACCACACTTACAAACTGGCGCTGTCAGTAGGTTTCCTTCACAGAAATATTCTGTCTTAAGTGGAAGTTCTTAAGGAAAAAAAGAAGTCAAGTTATACATTCTTGGCAATAATATCACAAAATTACTAAAATTGTTCTAATTTCTGACTTATGCCAGTAATTTAACGCTCTTGTTGGACTCCTTTTTCATTATGTTTAGTTTAAAATAGTTTATCACCTAATGGTCTTTTAATTGTTTCAAATACGTGTTTTCCCACCCTAAGTTTTTTTAATCTGATAAATTCCTTGAGTATGACAGTGTCTCATCCAATCCAAGGTTAAACCTAGGGATATTTTAAGTAGATGTAATTCGTACTATAGTTATTTATTAATGTGGGATGGGAAAAACATTTCAAGCACAGGGAACAATGTAAACAAAGACACAAGTGGAAGAATAGGGCCGTGTGTCAGGGATGGTGAGAAGTCCAGTTTGTCTGGAGTGAAAAGTGCATAGAGGGAAGTAATTTGGGTTAAAATTGGAAAGGAAGGTGATACCCAGATATGGAGGAGCTGAACTGATAGACTGAGGAGCCCTGAAGGGATCTGAGCAGGTCCAAGGGAGGAAGATGATGGATTGGAGGGGGTACAGAATGGAAGGGCAAGACCAGTCTGGTAGCTGTGACTGGGCTCGTGTTGGTCGAGGGAACAGAAGGATTGAGGCAGGGCCCTAAAATTGACTTGGGAAAGGGGGGAGAGAAGAATCAAAGCAATAATACGTGTAAAGTGTTGATGCATTAGTGACTATCTTGGCTTCCCTCTATATTTTTTTAAACGGCCACTTAAAAATAACCAGGCTTGGCAGATAATGCCAAGACAGTCAAATTCCAAATACCACGCTTCATTGTCCCTGCAAACCAAATGACCAAAAAACCCTTTGCCATGCTGTCTGTTCTTGGTTCAGAAAATGTGTCCGCTATGTCTGTACCTCTTTAAGACTTAGATGAAGTGAGGTTTTTAATTTAACTTCTTCCTCAAGGTACTGTATTACCTATAATAAAACTACATTTCTCAAAATCAGTTTTATAATTAATACTTTTCACTAATTCAGACTGACCCTCACTCTAGTTACTTGAGTTAACAAGGTTCTATGGCTGTTTTCTGATTAACTCTGTTTTTTCTAATGCAGGAATAGATTCCGAAGGCCATGCTGCCAACTTTGTTGAAACGGAGCAAATCGTGCACTACAATGGGAGTAAAGCTTCGTTTGTCCAGGTGGGGACAAAAATGGCTTGGTTTTGTCCTCATGTCATGCATGATGCTTTGTTGTTTTTTCCCTGTTTGATTTAGTGTTAAATCGTTGCTAAACAGAGCTACAGAAACAAGTCATTCCCTACCTACCTTTTTCTTGCCCTGTCCCTAAAATTGGAGCGCTCAGAGTAGAGTGGGACTGCAGGAACTTTGAAGACAGCAAACATTTGTGTTATTTCAGCTTGAGCCTTTTAAGACTGAAGTGACAATGGGCAAATAGCTAAGAGAATGAAGTAACTGAAGAGTAAACTCAGTTAACTTTGACTTTGTGTTTACGCTCGGTGACCTAGGAGTTCAGGAATGAGGCACTAGACTTCATTTATGATAAACACTTACTTTGTCACCTTCACAAGAACCCTAAATGCCTTGTTGCTTTCCAGCTGTGGTGAATCACACTGGGCATTCATGTACGGGTGCTTCAAACATGCTTTTCATGGGCTGCGCCTCTTAGCCTGTCCTCTCCTCCTTTTGAAGAAAGTGGTTTATTTTAGACTACATAGGAAACAGGTAAAATGAGATGAGACCTTATTAGAAAAGAGACATTTGACATCTAAGAGCACAATACATTTAATTTAGGAGCAGCTCTGCCGGAATCCCTGTCATGTTTCTAGGTGGTTTATTTGGCCAAGACTATGCTGAGGTAACTCTGGCGTCATTATTGAATGGGAAAGTCCCCTTAGGATGTCAACAATGTCAGTCACAACTCCTCCACAATTCAGTAGATGGTTTTTTTGTTTTTTTGTTTTGGTTTGGTTTTTTTGGTGAGGCAGTCGGGGTTAAGTGACTTGCCCAGGGTCACACAGCTAGTAAGTGTCAAGTGTTTAAGGCTGGATTTGAACTAAGGTCTTCCTGACTCCAGGACTGGTCCTCTATCCACTTCTGCCCCTTACAGTACAGTTTTAAAGAGTGTCTGTGGAAGATACTTGTCCCCTGTGGCCACGCCTGTGACCAGCCTCTTCACTTTAGACAGGCTGGTCCTTAGACACAGGCATAGAAGCCATCACTCGAGGTCTCTCTGGTGGGGGAGGACTTGCTGACTCGGTCTCTCTGACCCTAGCATTGTCTTGTGGGAGGTGAGGGAAGGAAAATGGAGTAAGTGGAGAGAAAAGAAAGAGAAGCAGATGCCCATCACCATCTCCCCCCATTTCTGTTTCTGTTTTTATTTTTTCAGACTAGAGGATCCATGCCCTTTTTCTGGTCCCAAAGACCAAACCTCAAATACAAGCCAAAGCCGCAGATCAACCAAGTGGCCAACCAGGTAGGTGCCTGCCTGCTCCAACCCCTGTCAGAAAATGGGAGCCTGATTGGGGGCAAGAGGGAGTGGTGTTTCCCTTTGGCCTGGGGGGGGTCTCTGTGTCTCCCTAACACCTACACGCAGTGGAGAGAAAGAAATATAGAATATTTCCGACCACACAGACCTTAAACACAATGAGCTTTTGCAACAGAACTAGCATAGTATCATGGGAAATAGCCCTGGAGACCTGGGTTCTAGTCCTTGCTTGGGGATGAGAAGTGTTACAGTGAACAAGCGACTTAACTTGTTTGGACCTCAGTTTTCTCATCTGTTAATTGGGAATAGGATCTGCCTTGCCACCCCATAGTGGTTGAGAGGCTCCAATGAAATAATCTGTGTAACACCAGCATGACATTTCAAGGCACTGAATTCTAGCCTAGCTTTTTGAGATTCCAGAGATTTTATGGAAGCTCAGAGCCCACCACTGTTTAGATCACTTAGTGTTTGCCATTCAGGATTGGATGGAAGATAGGAGGAAAGCATAATGCATCTTGCTTACCAGTATTAATTCTGTTACTAGCCATTATTAATTCTTAATGAGATGATTCTCTGAGCTTTTAGAAGGTAGGCTTCATTTAGAATTAGAAGACAGGTCCTTAATGTAGTTGGCATAATGTAAGCAGAAAATTAAGAGATACTTTTAAAAACTTGATGAAATAATTTCCATAAGGAATCTTACAACCAGATAGTGAATTCATCATTCTTTTCCTTTTTTTCCTTCAGATGGATGGTTTTCAAAGGCATTTTGACTCACAAATAATTACTTATGGAAAACAAGTCATTATTAATCTGGTATGCATCTAGAAAATCTTCCAAAAAAAACAACACATCTGCTTTTAAGCAAACTTGAAAGAAAGCAATTGGTGTTTAAATTTTTCACAGGTTAACCAGAAGGGCTCAGAGAAGCCACTTGAACAGACATTTGCAAAAATGGTTACCTCCTTGGGAAATGGAAATATCAGGTACATGTAAATTGAAACTTGATTTTGTTTTGTACATCCAGTGGTTGTTCCTAAACAAATATTTTTAGGCATAACATATATTACTATTGCTGATGTCATTCTTCGTTTCTCATTTTATGACTGTCTTTTGAATGGAAGAGGAAAGATGAGAGTATCTTTAGAAGGTTTCAGGCACTTTCATTGACTGCCCACAGCCTTAGGTTCTGTTAGTTAGACTGGGTGCTGCTTAGTAAGTTATAGAAGGCAGAGAGTTAAGTACATCATCATCATCTTGGATACAGGGAGAACATAGGCACAGAAATCCCAGCTCCCATCCTTCATGATCGAGCACTTGTGATAACTGCCAACATCAGGTGGTGAGGGGGCTTCCTCTCATTCTCCCTATCACTGCTTGTTGCTGAGGATGTTAAGAGGCAAGCCTGCCAGCGTGGCCGGCGGGGTAAGGCCCGAGATCCCATCCACTTCACACACTCAGCACTGAAGAGTTGACCGTACGTAGCCTGGTTTTCCTTGGTAGTTGGTCTGCTCTGTTAGGAAAAGGCAGGATTCCTCTCTTGCAATACATCTAAAGCCTATAGGGTTTGTGTCTCCTTTGTAAGGTTTACATAGCAAAATCAGCTTATCTGTTATTAAGTAATACTTCACTATGCCCTGTGTGGGTTGTAAAAGTTCAGCAGAGAGAGACAGACACACACATGTTTAGGCGTGAGGCACAGTCATGTACCTGCCTGAGATGTGTGTTTGACTTGTGAAGGTCTTAGGAAAGGGATGAGCTTCATAACATTAATGCTTCTCTGCATAATTTCAAAATAAATATGGCAGCAAATGAAGTCTGTTTTAAGCAAAAGTACAAAAAACCAAGCTATTCCCTGCCCCTCAGGCGATTATTCTTTCCTTTTCAGTTCAGCGAGTAGAAAGGATAGTTATGTGCCTGTTTGTCAGCATGCCCTTTCCCCCAAAAGGTTTTAGAAGTGAGATTTCAGCTGATGTCTCTGTTTTGTGGTGTTTCATTCAGGCCTTTTTAATATCCTGAAACCATTCAGTAAAAACAGGTTTAGACACGAAGAAAAGCTTCTTTTTTCTAGCTATTCATGTTGATTTGTTGTCTTTATGCCTTCATCCAGGGTCTCGTGGAGGACATAATGATGCCCCTTATTTTGTCTCTCGTTGTAATCACGGTTTAGCTCTTGGTTAGGGAAGGATGGTTGAACTTTGATGGATCAGCAGAAGCCTTCCTTAACTGAGGGTGTCTTTAGAGGGCCACAGAATTGTAACTGCCCGTGCTTTGGGGTTTTGGGCATTGGTCTCCACATCGGCACCCCACCAGCACAGTTTGGGTGATTGAGCGATTACCTGGGTCCCTGTGTGCGCCTGGTTTGGTGCTTCCATCTTGTCTCTCTGGGCCATGCCATTCCCTTTCTTTCCCAGGCAGACAAAGCAGTCTCTGTGCAGCTCAGGACAGTGGGGAGAGGTCGAGCACTGTGCTGCTTGCCGACAGTCAGAACCAGGCTACTTACAAGGGCAGAAAACGGTAGGGGGAGGCCAGAGCGTTTGGGGAGAGTGGTGGGTTTGCGAGGTCTGCCCACACTTGAGCACAGCTTGGGTCACATTCAGGACTGCAGCTCTTCCTTTGGGAGCTATAGCACCTCCCTCTTCAGGGCCTCAAGATTTGCCACAGCTAGGGTCTGATGCTCTTAGCCCCCAGGGAGCTTCACCTCTCGTGTCAGAGACCACTTCAGTAGTCTGGGTGAGGCTATGGGCCCTTTCTCAGAATAATGTTTTAAATAGAGGCAGCTCAATGGATAGAGCTGGGCCTGGAGTCAAGAAAATCAGAGTCCAAATTGAGTCCCAGATGCTTGGTGACTGTGTGACCCTGGGCAAGTCACATAACCTGTCTCCCTCAGTTTCGTCATCTGTAAAATGGGGATTATAATAACCTACCTCCCAGGGTTGTTGTGAAGATGAAGTGAGTTAATAATTGTAAAGTGCTTAGTGCCTTTCACACAGTAAAGCACTTAATAAATTCTTGTTCCTTCCCCCCTAAATAATTGAAGGAAACACTAAATTTCAGTTAGAGGTTAGTGAAAATAAAGATGTTATAGTTTTCCTCTCCTAGTTCTCAGAGCCCAAGTTAAGAACTCCTCCCTCAGAGAAATGTGGAATTTGCACTCACTGTCAGCCGTGAGAGCCTCAGGGATGAACCATGGAGTTTGCCTTCCAAATTCTGGTGTCTCAGAAGGTTCCTTCCACTGTGCGTTTTACATAGTAGGTGCTTAGTAAATGTTCAAGGGAGTGGTTGGTCCCCACAGTTAGAGCCTTCAGCTTTCCGTGACCTTTGATGAGATGATCACATGTGCACAACAGCATAGGCAAGAAGAACTTCTCTTAAATTTTTCTGATTCTATTCAGTTAATAGGCTTATTTCTAACAGAAAGAATTGGCTTATATGGTCAGGGCCAAAGTGACTGTTATGTATGGTGGTTTATTTAGTTTGATAAACAAGCATTTTTGAACACCCTCTGTGGGCCAGGCACTGAGGTTACCAAAACAACAATTCAAAAAAAAAAAAAAAAACCCTGCCTCTAAGCAGTTTACATGCTACTGGGAGAAAATCTGGCAGATAAGGGCATACAAATATAGACTGAGTGAGTGCAAAGTCCTTCCAGGGGACTGGTTAGAGAAGGCCAGTTGAACTTTGACAGGTCAGCAGAAGCCTTCCTTAAGGCTTTGTTTCGAGAAGGCCACAGAATCTGAATTGCCCATTATTGGGGGTTCTTTTTGACATTGGCCTACATGTCAGCCCACCACCAGATCAGTTAGGGGAACTAAGGGTCACAGGGGGGCCCCACGAGTGGATAAAGTGGGAGAAGAATCAGGTTCAGTTGCCTTTTTATTTATTTAGTTAGTTTTTGTTTTTGTTTTTGTGAGGCAGTTGGGGTTAAGTGACTTGCCCAAGGTCACACAGCTGGTACGTGTCAAGAATTTGATCTGAGGCCGGATTTGAACTCAGGTCCTCCTGACTTCAGGGCCAGTGCTCTATCCACTGCGCCACCTAGATGCCCCTTCAGTTGCCTTTTTAAATGGCAATGAGGAAGCATTTGCTGTGAAGAAGTACATGTCTCCCAGAGTTTCCTTCCACAAAGCTTCTAGAAGAGGGAAAAGGGGAGCACCTACATTAGCCTGCTGTGCAAATGTTGAAATAGAGACTTGACCTCCTCGAGGACCCCGCTAAGTATAGGCCAGCGCCTTGAGAAGCTTATGCTGCTCAGTAAGGGAGCTCACAGCCAGGGACTGAGGAGAGTTCGAGAGAGGTTTGTGTCATGGTGGGAGGAGACAACGTGTTCCCATTTAAATTCAGAATCTGTTTAAGATAAATACAAGACCAAGGTCTGGGCAGTAAGGAAAGGCCTCTTGGGAGGAGGAGAACCTTGAGCTTGGGTGCCAGGGGCAGAGGGGGGAGGGAGAGGCCTCCAAGCATGGGGGAATGGGGGTAGGCAGCTTGTGCACAGACCAGGGAGGTTGGATACTGAGAGCAGTAAGCAGGCCAGCTTGTCTACAACAATGGGTCACTCATTCTGGAAGGCTAGGCTGGAGTCGGGCTGAAGGGCTTCTAATGCCACATAGGACTCTGTTTTATCAGAGAGGCAAATGGAGAATCTGAACCTTCTAGAGTAGGGGAGGGGCACCTCCTGGAGAGGGTGGGTAAAGGCTGGAGACAAAGGGATGAAACGGGGACTAGTGTGGTGGTGAGGGGACGAGTGATAAGACCCTGAGCTGGGGAAGTTGTGGATGGCTGGGGACAGATGTGACAAATGGCAGCTGATTCCTGTATATGGGAAGAAGGGGGGTGAAAAGGCAAAGATAGATGACTCCAAGATTGCAAAACTAGGTGACTTGAAGAATGGTGGCACCTTCTATGGAAATAGGGAACTTAGGAGGACAGTAAGTGGACATGCCCCTCCCCTGGAGGAGGTACACACAGGATGGGATGGCAAGCTAGAGAGCAGGAGAAAGGGAGCCTCAGAGATGGAGCTTTGGGTTATTAGCAGAGAAGAGAATGGAAGCCATCTGGTGACATGATGAGACCGCAGAAAGATTGGGTAGAGAGGAAGGAGCCTTGGATACACCCACACATGAAGGTGAGGTCCCGCTGAGAAGGCCATGTGAGATACGTAGGAATACAGCCATGACAGAGCAGTGTCACAAAAACCCAGGGAGGGGAGGGCAGGGCATCCAGAAAAAGAGGGTGGGCATCCCACAAATCAAAAAGGACAAAAGCTGAGAACAGATCATTGGATTTAACGGGACCTTGGGAGAGTTGTGCTTGAGTGATGGGAGTGGAAGCTAGCATGCCTGGGCATCAGAAGTGAGTGGGAAGTAAGAACATTAAGACAAGGAATTCAAATTCGTTTTAGTTACACATCTTACGCTTTTCTAGTGAAGTAATAGAAAGGTCAGCAGCTCCCTTCTGGACCATTTAAAAACATGCATAGGTGATCACAGCTGACACATGTATGGTTCACCTTGAAGAGATTTACTTGAACTGTGAAAGCTCTTGTACAAGATAGTAGTTTGAGGGTCAAGTCAAGGTGGTGGTGGTGGCGGTGGCGGTGGCGGTGGCGGTGGTTGAAGCCCGAGCATGGGAGGTTTGTCTTCCTCAGAATCAGCTGCCACCTTCTGATTCAGGCCTCCTTTAAACTGCCCCCTCCAGTTGTTAGGGTGCTATCTCTTCAAATGACTTATATGATATTTGTTATACTTGGGTCAATGCATTTAATACCCCAGGTAGGCAGGGATGGTTTCAGCTTTGCCCTTGTATCCCTAGTGCCTGGCATATTAAGCATTTAATAAATGTTTATTTACTTGCATAACATACACACACACACACACAAACACACACACACGTACATATATGCATATATATATATATATATATATATATAAAAACACATTTCCAGAGGCAGCATATGTACTTATAGGGAATGGGTTGAATCTGCCTTATTCACAACCAGGGTTTCCTAAATCATGCCTGTGGTTAGATGTAGTTGCTGCTAGTAGGTGATCTTGTTCAGTTGGTAGCACAGTCCAAATATATCTCCTTCTGCAGTAAATGAGATAAATTAGAAACAGAAATAACTTTTCCTTCAAGAAAGTAAGGTCTTTATTTCAGAATCTACATCTCTAAGTTATATAACTAGTTAATAGAAGATAAAAATATCTTGAGAAAGAATGAAACAAGTATCTAGTCTCAGTTAGGAACTGGTTAATGATCTCAATACTTTCCTTACCTGGACAAATTAAAAACCTGTTGTAGGCAGAAGCTGCCTTATTTTCTTGTGCTTCTGACTTCACTTCCCATGGACTCAGACTTCCAGAGCTAAATGCAGCCTGAGAGATTATTAAAGCCACCCGCTCATTTTACTGGTGAAAATTGGGAGCATTAGGTTTGTCTTTAAAGCTCTCATCAGCCCCTACAACATCTCAGTTAAATCAATTATAAACTAATTTCTAAAATGCCATTTATGCTGTAAACATTTATGAAGGTAGCAGGACTCTATCATTATCTCATTCTGGAAACAAAGACCATCTCTTTATCTCTCTTCAAAGTAAGGTCTTCTAGAATAGAACCTGGGAAGGAAGAACAACGTCCTTCTTCACATTGACCTGTCTCCCAACGTGGTTTAATTCCGTATCAAAGAGAACTGGACACAAATTGGCTGCCCTGAGGTTTTGTGTCCCTGTCTGCCCGCTTACACTTCCTTTCTGAGGCACAGACAGGAAGTTGTTTACCAATACTTTCAGCTCCTTTTCACCAAATAAAATGGCTAGGATCTAGCCAACATTGTTATCAGATTTAATTTTTGTAAATATAATTCTACATATTAAAAATTCTGTAACAAATAATACCATTTTTTCTTACAACATATTTCTGAAACTTAATTTCTTTTTAATAAACATTTTAACCTTTGATCAATCTGTTTGATCTGATTTTAAACTCCTGAGAATAGGAGCCATCTTTCTGCATTCCCCGTGCATGATACTTGGATTGAATTCAATCTGATTAGTTGTGAATATTTTAATCCATCTCTTTTTTCAAATGTCCTGGTGGGGAAGAGAACCAGCTGCTATGAATGCATGTGGGATGGTTGAGAGACTTTCTTTCCCATAGACGGGGGCCTCCCCACTGTGCTTAGCCCTGCACATCTTGAGACCTCGGGCCCAGAGGGCTCTCCTTGAACCTTCTGCTGTAGGTTCTCCAGAACATCACCTTGCCCGTGTCTTCTGCCTGTATGTGCTATATGTATGCACAAAGAAAGGGGGAACGTACATCCCAGTCGTGGGCATGAGGTTCTTTTTCCCTGGGGGTGAAGGGAAGGGCAGGAGGAGAGGTCACTTTACCCTTCTTCTCCCCAGGAAATGTGTGTTTTGACATAGAAGGGACAAGAAGAGATGTTTTGTTTATCTTCTGAATATCTTCATCTTTTGCATAGATACATTGCATTTGACTTCCACAAGGAATGTAGTAAAATGAGATGGGATCGTTTGCAAATTTTGCTGGATCAAGTAGCTGATCTTCAAGATGAATTTGGGTAAGCTGGTATTGTCTTGCATGTGGTGACGTGACCAGTGCCATAACTCCCTGTCAGCAGTTAGCTAGCAGACTTTCCAAAGTCAGTTACCCAGCTATTATGTCAGATTACGGATTAGGGAGGTGCAGCACAGCATGATGGATATGGTGTTGAGTTTGCTGGGAGTCAGGAGGACCTGGGATCATATTCCATCACTGACACATTATCTATTTGACCTTTATTTTCCTCATCTGTAAAATGGAGATAACACGTGCAATACTTACCTCCCAGGGTTGTTGCAATATTCCACTTAGAAATGTTAAATAGAACATTTTGCAAACTGTATAAATTTCAATTTATTATTTCCTATGCATATATGCAGCTAGGTGCTGCCATAGTGCACAGAGCACTGGACTGATGTCAAGGAAGACTCATCTTCTTGAGTTCAAAGCTAGCCTCAGATACTTCTAGCTGTGTGACCCTGGGCAAGTCACTTCACCCTGTTTGCCTCAGTTTCCTCATCTGTAAAATGAGCTGGAGAAGGAAATGGCAAACTACTCCAGTATTTTTGCTAAGAAAACCCCAAATGGGATCACAAAGAGTCATACATGACTGAAACCACTGAACAATAAAAACACATATTATGTTTTTAAACGGTCTAGAAGAAGCCATCTGTTGGTCTTTCCATGATTTTGTTAGATAATTAGAAGATGTGTAACTAAAATATACCCTTTTGTTTTAGTTACATAGCGTGTTTAGTTGAATAGTTGACAAGAAAAATTTGAACACGAGATGCTTTTTACAGGTGAAGCTGCCATTTAAAATTACTGAAGTTTAATTTCCTTTTAGACAGTTTAACTTTTTATAACTCTGGTGCTTACGTGGCATTTTTATTTTCTGGTGCTTACATGCTTACATGGCATTACTTTCTTCACAGTGAAGGAGGTAGTGCAAGTGTCCACATAGGTCAATGTGGGAGGAACCACAAACAATCACTACTTTTACAATTTTAAGTTCTTATGACGTCTGTCATGAAATGGGGTGCTGCGCCCCTTTTATGCTTGGGTTCCTGCCTCACTGCTACCACAAAATGGTGAAGGCTTCTCCGTCAGAGACCACACCCCTTCTCACTGCTTCCTTTTTGCCATGGGAGTACCCCTTTCTCTACTACAAAATCCAGTTGGACAACTGAACTTTTCTGAAATGTTAGGAACGTCAGAAGGTAAACCTTATTTATACAAGATAATTGTCCAGGTATAGAGATGTTTATACACAGATGTTTTAGTTATTTTCTAGTGGACGCTAATGGCAAAGTGGTGACAAATCAGGAAGGAATATTCCGCAGCAACTGTATGGACTGTCTAGACAGGACCAATGTGATCCAGAGCCTGTTGGCCCGCCGCTCTCTCCAAGCCCAGCTCCAGGTAGGCCTTCTCCCAGTGGCGATGCCTGACTGCGGGGATCCTGCTCTTGAAGAAAGTGAATTTTTGTCTTCTGTTCAACCTTGGAGAAGTAATGACTTAGCATTTATCATGAATGCACATTAAATATATTCCAAATTGATCTCATGACCGAGTAAACCACAAATAATGACTTTAGTTATACTAGCCTGACCATCTTGTGAGTAGTAAAGGAAGGTATTTGGGGGAGAAAGTGGTGCATTCCTGGAGGCCTGGTCATAACTATATCACACTTGTGTTCATTTTTTCTCTTACCTGGAAAGCGTGTGTATGTTGTGTGTGTGTGCGCATGTGTGTTGTGTTTCGTGTGTGTTTGTGTGTGAGGTATTTTGTTGAGACAATAAATATCTGCACTTTTTCTCCTGAAAATTCCATCTACCATATTTTGCTTGTATGGAATCCAGAGAATCGGTGTTCTGCATGTAGGACAGAGGATTGAAGAACAAGCTGAATTTGAAAAAATTTACAAAAATGGTAGGTAACCTCTTTGACAGAAGTGAAAGGTGTTTCCCCTTGGGTAAGTAGGAATTTCGCTTGTCATTTGAACTTGTCTTTTTCTTTTCTTTTTTTGTTCACAGCATGGGCTGATAATGCAAATGCTTGTGCCAAACAATATGCCGGAACTGGTGCCTTGAAGACTGATTTTACCAGGTAGGTTAGGGCCTAAACATCACACTAAAGACAACTCTGTTTGGTCCTGTAAGGTCACATACTTGCTGCGTTTTAGGATCTCCTTTGAAGTAAGATGTGGATTACTTGTAACTTCCACATCAGAATCTATCAAAAAACAACTTCACATGGAGAATTGGGTTGTTTTTTGGGGTTTTTTTTTGTCTTCATAGGCTGAACTAGGAAATGGTTGATTTTATTTTGAACTTATATCATTTTGATTTTCAGATTTGTGTGTTATTTATGGCAATCTGGCGTGTCCAAACCCTACTTACTCCTTAATTCGTGACTTAGCTAGATCCTAGTCTGCCAGCAGATGGGATGTAGGGGCCTGGATGTTTTTCCCGCTTTGGGTAGTTGGGAGTGGAGAGGTGTGTACACATATAAGTTCTTTGTAAACTAAATTATGGCAATATTGATCACTTGGCTTATTGCTCATATCTTTCTCTTCTTCCCTACTTTTATGAAATAATAGTTTACTGTATAATGTTACATGTTAAACACATAATCCTCAAATCACTTTTCTCACATAGAACTGGAAAGAGAACTCAGTGGGGGCTGGTACTGGATGGCTGGAACTCGCTTGTGCGCTACTACAAAAACAACTTTTCCGATGGCTTTCGACAGGTAAGGAGAGCTTTGAAGCATGAGCAGAGTCCACGAGCAGGTCTCTGAGGGATTTAGATGGCTTCGTGATAATGGGATTGTTCTTGGCATGTTTATGAAGGCGTTAATCCACCTCTCTCTTCTAGGACTCCATAGACTTGTTTCTTGGAAACTATGCAGTGGACGAAATAGACCATAGTAATCCACTCCATATACAGAAGGACTGGAAGTTCTTGGCTGTAAGGCAATTAACATTTTTCTTTTGGAAATTGTCTTTATTTTTCAGTTTATTATGTAACTCCTACTTTGCTAAGGTACTGCCAGAATCTCTTGATTTCAAAACATCATCTGCACTCAAATGAATCTGTACATAATTTCCCTTTATGCAGTTACCCAAACCCTTTATTATGGCTTCCTTCTTTTTCTCTTGCTCTCTCATACACTTTTTGTTATGGTGTAGCGATGTGCGTGCTGAAAGGAATTTTGTGTTGGCTTCTTATTCTCGGTGGCAGCCAGTAGCAGTCACCCACATTTGTCACAATTCTGTTATTGCTGAGATTGAGGAAGTCTTCTCCGTCCGGGAACAACACGTAGCTTGTATTTGACACCTGGCTCTTCCTTTCCCTTCCTACTCCACCTTGTGAGCATCTCGTCTGGGTCTTCCTCTCCTGGGCGCTTCCCCTTTCAGTGTGCTGTCATTTAGCACAGGCCTGAATGGGAACCTGCGGCCTGGAGGCCACTTGTGTTCTACAGAACAAAGTGCGCTTTGGATTCAGTCAGAAGGCCACACTTAAGGACCATGAAGGCCCCATGTGGCCTCCAGGCCGCAGGTTCCCACCCCTGGAGTGATGATCACCCTCGCCACGGGTATTTGCCTTCTCACAGAGACCTCCTAAGACTCAAAAAACAAACCCAAAGGAAAAAATGATACCCTGACAGCGGAATTTCAGTCTTCTGAATCTAGAGCAGCAAGACAGTTGTTTCTGAGTGGTTGGCCTTTCTTATTGTCCCTCACGTTATGCTCCTTTAGTCATCTCCTCCCACCGGGAAGCCTCTGTGTCTCTGTGTGTGCAGGAGTGCAAATCCCTCCAGATTGCTATCAGCTGATTCAGACAGAGCACACCCAGTAGGAAGGGAGCTCTGATCCCGGTGGCTCAGGCAAACAAATATTTTATGGTAAATGTTGTCTTTTCCATTGTTTTGTGGACAGAGAACTTGGTGGAAACCATTTTTTTAAAAAATCTTCTTACTTGTAATGATGTAGTGGAGAGGACACTGGGTTAGGAGCTGGGAGACTTGGGTTTTAGTCCCAATTTTGCCTTTAAGTCATTTAACCTCTCTGGGTCTCTTTCTTTTTCTGTAACATGAGAGGAGTACGTAAGAAGACTTGTCTTTTCCAGCATTAAAATCCTGTGATTCTTTGACTTCAGTGTGGCTGTGATATAGGAGACCAGGACAAACCTCCTCAAATTCCAGTTCTTAACAAAACCAAAAAACCTTGGGAGCCAAGATTACATGTCCCATTGATAGAAGGCTTTTTTAAAAAATGAGTTGTTAATTTACTGGTTTCAAACATAACGAGGCTGAGTTCTCTTATGTTTTTTTTTAAGGGGGAGGTGGGGAAGAGATGTGGGGCACAGCATAAGATGTGTGTAGTTGACCTCACATCAGATAAGGAGAATTCTTAAATGATTGTTTTTTTTCCCCCCAGTTGCCTATTATCATGGTTGTTGCCTTTTCAATGTGCATTATCTGTTTGCTTATGGCTGGTAAGTCCATTCTTATTCCATCCTTAAATTAAATCTTTAAGTCATTACATTAACATATATGCATTTACACAAACATACATATATGTATATATTTTGCTGCATCTTAACAAGAGTTAAATCTATTCTAACTTTGACTAAGTTTAATAAGGCCTAATCAGTTTGTGCTTTAGCTGTAGTAATAAAAAAAAGATTCAACTACCCAAAGAAGCTATGTCAGAGATTCTTTTTTTTTTAATTATAGATTGCTAGCAGTTCATCATTTACTTTGTAGGGTTAATTGGAAGAACTGCCCTTTCTATTGCCACCTTTTACTTTTTTTTAACGTTCCTTAGAAGTTCCCATTATAGCTAAATAAACACATAAGAGAAGAATGGAGGATATACTTTTGTATTGATGATTAAATTGAGACATGTATTCTTTGACATATTCATTCAGTCATTAAACATTGACTAAGTGCATACTACGTGCCAGACGCTGTGCTAAGGCCTGGGAAGCCAAAGGAAGGCAAAAGACAGTCCCTGTCGTGGAGCTCATAGTCTAATGAAAAACAAAAACATACGGACAACCGCACACAACTCCATACAGACAAGCAATATACAGGATAAGTAGGAAATAATCAATAGAGGGACAGTACTAGAATTAAAAGGGATCAAGAAAGGTTTCTTGTAAAAGGTGGGATTATAGCTGGAACTTGAAGGAAGCCAGGAGGGAAAGATAAGAAAGGAGAGCATTCTGTGCAGGAAGAACAGTCAGAGAGAATGCCTGGACCCCAGAGATAGAGTGTCTTGTCCCTGGCCCTGGCCCTGGATCTCAAAGTCTGTGTGGTGGGGAATGAGGTGTAAGAGGGCTGGAAGGTGGGAGGGGGAGCAGTAGTGACAATAGGAAGCCACTGATGTTTATTGAGTAGGGAAAAGGGGGTGACCCATCTGACCTGCTTTAGGAAAATCCCATTGGTGGCTGAATGGAAGTCAGATTGGAGTGGGGAGAGACTGGAGGCAGGCAGACCCACCAGTGGCTGTTGCAGTAGTCCAGGCATGAGGTGATGAAGGCCTGCACCAAAGTAGGGGCAGTGTTAGAGGAGAGAAGGATGTGCATTCCAGAGATGTTGCCAAGGTGACATCGACATTGTCAACAACACCCTGGATGTGGGAGGTGAGAGAGAGGGGGAGGAGTCCAGGATGACTCCTGGATTGTGAGCCCAAAGGATGGTGGTGCCCTCAGCCGTCATCAGAAAGGTTGGAATGGGGGCAGGCATGTGAGGAAAGATAATGAATTCAGGTTTGGACGTGTTAAGTTTAGGATGTATACGGGACATCTGTTTTGAGATGTTTAATAGTCAATTGGAAGTGAGAGACTGGAAGTCAACTGAGAACTTCCGGGCTGGATAAATAGATTTGAGAATCATCAGCTGATAATTGAATCTATGGGAGCTGATGTTACCAAGTGAAATCGTATAGAGGAAGAAGAGAAGAGGTTCTAGGACAGGAGCTTGTGGGACACTCATGGTTAGCAGACATGACCTAGATGAAGATCTCGCAAAGGAGATTGAGAAGGAGTGGCCTGGTAGGGCAGAGGAGAACCAGGAGGAAGTGACCCAGAACCCTCAAGAGAAGAGCGTCTCAGGAAGATGACTGACAGTGTCAGAGGCTGCACAGAAGTCACGGGCCATTGGATTTGGTGATTTAGACCTGCTTGGTAGATCTGGAAAGAGAGTTTTGTTTGAATGATGAGGTTGGAAGCCTGACTGTAAAGCGTTAAGAGGAGAGTGACCTGACCAGAGAGGAAGTGGAGGTGCCAGTTGTAGGCGATCTTCTCCAGGAGTTTAGCCACAAAAGGTAGGAGAGGTGGGGATGATGGTTAGCATGGATGGGTAGATCAAGGAAGGCTTTTGTATTTCAGTCAGTTTGCCTAGGAACACGACGGAGTCTTTGTGGCTAAAGGATGTTTGAATATTTTACATGTGTGTGTGCAGGCACACACTTACATACATTTGGATAGGTTGATCTTGATTAGTGGGAGGGGTGTGTGTGTGTGTGTGTGTGTGTGTGTGTGTGTATGTGTGTGAAATCCATACTAAATTAGGCAAAATTAATCAACCTAGAATAAATGGAGAGTTTTGTCACATTTTTCTCTTCTTCATTGAAAAACTGTGTCCACTTGACTAATGAGAATTGATGATAAGATGGAGTAACGAGACTAAATCACTGTCCTCAAAACGTAGAAGCATAGGTACCTCTTTGTCAGCTTTTCTCAAGTTCCTTTATAGTTTTGTCACCTTTGCCCTGAAAGATGACATCACCTGTGCCGTCTGGGAAAGAAGAGTGATGGGCAGTGCATGCAGGCCGGTTCTCTCCTATCTAGGATTTCTTGCTTCGTGCCACTCTTTGCTGACCGTCCACTTCACTCTTTAAAAAATAATGCAGGGGCAGATAGGTGGCACAGTGGATAGAGCACCAGCCCTGGAGTCAGGAAGACTTGAGTTCAAATCCGGTCTCAGACCAAACACTTGACACTTATTAGCAGTGTGACCCTGGGCAAGTCACTTAACCCCAGTTGCCTTGCCAAAAACAAAATAAAACAAAACAAAGAAAAAAAGATAATTCAATAGCTTTCACTGCCTGGAACTCTTACCACTTCTGTGGGGCATTCAGCAAATCCTCCTGTAGATGACCTTTTGATTAGGCTAAACCTAAGCCAGGTTTAGCCCTCATAATGACTCCATCTAAAAACGTTAAGTGTCCAGTCATTGCCCAACACTGTACCAGGTCCTGTGCAAGATATGAATGAAGGGTGGAAGAGGCAGGCTTCTTCGTTCTAGTGTAAAGGATGAGAGTTAATTATGTGAAACATCCAGAGAAAAATGCTCAGTTCCTATAAACATTGTAAGATTTGGGTAGAAAGAGACATAAGGACTGGAGTGTCTGGAGGTTTCATTAGGGAGATGAAGCTTGTAGCTTAGATAGGATTTTGGAGAGTTTGAGAGGAGAAGGTATAATGGAGCAATCATAAAGGAAGGAGTATAGAATGTATGGAACTAGGTCTGGCAGGGGAGTCCTAATGAGAAATAGTAGGTAATGAGGAGAACCAGCTGGTGCAGAAGTTTGGGAATGCCTTGGTGAGGATTTGGGACTTTTTCCAAATGGAAAAGTAGGGTTCCATAAAAGCTTCTGAGCCAGGGAGTGACGATGAAAGGAACGTTTGAAGACTGTTGCTGTAGCAGTGCTTTGCAGAATTGTGGCAAAGAGAGGCCAGAAACAAGGAGACCATTTAGGCGGCGGCTGTAGTGGCATCAGTGTTGAGATAGGAGAGGGGAGAGTGGATTAGGGTGATGGCCATGGGCGTGGAGAGGAGGGGACGGATCTGACAGACTGTTTGAGAAGACTTGATTGCTGTGTGCCTGGTTGTGAGAGGTGATTCCAAGGTTTTAAACTGGAAGTTTGGGGGAGTGATGGCCGTGATTGGCAGCAGGAGGAAGCTTTGGAACCTTTGGCATTTGCAAGCTCCAGCCCAGGGCCCCTGTTTGGAGTAGTTGTGTGTCAGAACTAGAGCTGAGAGAAGAGATAAGGGAGAGATAGGCTTAGGTGTAAAGAGATAGAGATGTAGATTTGAGGGGAGACAGCTTCTTTCAGCTGGAAGAAGGACTTGAATTCATTCCAGATCAAATCATGTGGACATCAGGCACTGGATTTGGACTTGCTTTCAATGTGATAAGCAACTATCATCGATTTTGTTAAATCTGTGAACACAGTAGTATCTCACTGGCTTTCTCATTGAATTGTTTTATGCTTATATATGCTGCGTCTGATTCCAAGTATCCAAAGCCATGTTTTATCAGTTGTTGGTTTAAAAAGAGCAAGATACAAGAAGTACCACATGATGGATAAAAGCCTGCTAGATACAAAACCAGGATATGCAGCCGTCCTGTCCTGCCCCTCTGTGTATGGATGCGAATGTGTTTCCTTAGTTTCATGGTCAGAGCATCACTAGTTTCAACCTCAAATAGGAAGCCAAGTAAAACACCTTCTTTATTTTGGGCCTGGTGTGGCTGTTTGATTGTAGTTTATACATTTGATATTTCTCAGGAATACATAAATCATACAAAGTGAGCTGCATCTTTTGATAACCAGCCCTTATCCATTATGTTTGAAGTAAAATTCTTTAAATAACTTCTTATAATACCTTCTAAAAGTGGCAATTATTTGCGAGGTGTAACATAAATGTCGTTTTAAAACTTAAAAAGACAATGCTAATTAACTTTTGACTAGATGTGCTTATTACGACTGTGCTAATAAATTTGATTGCATAGATGTGCTGGACTGACATAGATGTAGTATTAATGAAAAGTGACTTTATTGTAATAATTTTCTTTCTTTTTAAAAATATAAACAGGCGACACGTGGACAGAGACATTGGCCTATGTGCTGTTCTGGGGAGTTGCAAGCATTGGAACATTTTTAATTATTATTTACAATGGCAAGGATTTTGTTGATGCTCCAAAATTGGTCCAAAAAGAAAAGATAGACTGAATTTGTATCTGTGGAAAGCGGCTTGGCCTGGAAGATTCCACAATTCAGAACTGGAGTCTTTACTGATCTGCTTTCCACACCAGCAAGGTGTCTTCTTGGCTTTTTTTATCTTTAGAAAAAGCAAATTCTATACTTTGTTTAGCGATGGTGACATACAGTTGAGGTCTGGTGTTACACCCATCTTCAGAATGATCTTTTAAATAGTGCATCAGTTGGGAACGGGACCCTCCTAATAGAACAATGCAGGCCAAAGCCACGGTGATGTTTTTGGCTTCAAGCCTGCCAGAATTTCAACCTGGATTCTGCTGAACAGAATGGGAGAAATGGAGGAATCTCTTTGTCCCACTGGTGCAGTATTGGGAATGTATAAACGAAATGGAGTTTCTTTCACTATTTAAAATAGTAAAATTATTTTTCTAGCTGAGTTTCATTCTTGTCATCTCAGAACCAATCACAATTGACAAGCATATGTTTGTGGACTTTTGTTAAAGCTAATAACTTCTGTGAAAAGGTTAATCTTGTTCCATCTAATAGTTTGATTAAAAGCTTCTAAGTCTTCGTTTCAGGAAAGTTCTGGATATTCCGATGAATGTTTGAATTGGCCAGCTTCCCTACCACGCTCTCCTGGCAATTTTTTTGTCATTGCAGTTAGACTGTCCACTTCAACGTGATGAGAAAGTTTGGGTAGAATTCTCTTCTCTTTCTAAAGATATATATGAAATCAAAGAAGAATGTAAAGTCTCTTTTCTTTGTGGTGTTCTACTCGTGAGCTAAAGGTCCAAAGCGTCCTGTGTGTGAGCAGTTGCCACAGTGGGGGAGATGTGCTCCCCAAGCCTTCTCTAGAGGTCTCCTGGGGGCCGGAAGGCTCGTCCGTCCTCTGAGAAAACAGCTTTGGGGGAGGGCCTCCTATTTGTGTTGGGGGCAGCAGCCCCATTTCCATGCATGGTACTGTTGACACCATTGACTTCGCGCATAACTTGTGTTTGGTGATCAATGTGTGTCTCAGATTTAGAACTTCCAACTTCTCTTAATCAAGGACCAACTTCAGCTTTGATTTATTTGTAAAAACAGACAAGAAATATGCTTTCAAAGCTATGCGTAGTTCTAATTGTGAATACAACTGCATATTCGGATTGCAATTATGAAGTCCAACATTCTAAAACTATGTAAGATAGTAGGACACTTGCCACCATTTAAAAGATAATTTATTTAATGCACTGCTACAGTGTGTCAGTGTTGTGCTGGAAAATATGTACAGTTTCCTTGTTTCATGAGTACTGATTCATTTTATCTTTAAATGTCTAGAAACCCCTTTGTTTCAAGATTACCTTTTGTTAGCACTCATAACAAGAAACTGTTGCTTTTAGAATCCATAGTGGAAATAATAGTTGAAAAATCCTGCATAGTTTAAAATCTGTTATCAGAGCGCATAATGACTAAGATAAAAGTGGACTACCTGTTCTTAATATGTAAATAAATGTAATTTGCTCCAAAGACCAATGGACTATGGGATCTGCCTGTGTCTATTGTAGTACATAATCCAAAAGCTTTTAGCCATTTCATGCTAAAAACTCGTTTCACCAACTACAACAGAGACCAAATCTGAACTGCAAACCTGGCTGCTTTGAAGAGATGGATTAATTTGGGTTTATTAGTTTCTAGAGTGTATCTTTCAAAATTCTACAGTGGTTTTATTTCATATACTGTATATCTGCAAATGATAATAAAATTTCACTTTCTTTTCTAACTCCCGACATTGTTGTTCTGTACTATTAATTTGAAGATCTGTGTGTTTTTTCCCCTTTAAATTATAGGTAGAATCAAGAAGATATTGGAGAGATTGTAACGATGATATTTTCTTTTCCCTCTTTCAGCTACTTGTTCTGTAAAATGGGTTGTGTTTGTTTTCATTTTTAAACAACCCAGGTTCCAATGGATAAGTTATGAATACATTAATTCCCCCCCCCCCCCAGTGTGAGGACACTCCCCCTGCCCCAGGCCACATATTTGAAGGGGAGGACTTAGTAAATGTCCTAATGTCCTCAAAGGCTTTCTTTTTGCATTAATCAAACAGTACAGCGATTCCTGCTGCTTTGGAACATAATTCTTTCTAAAAACTGGTGGTTGTGTTGGTTGTGCAGAATCGTGCTAACTCTTTGGAAGCTGTGTTGACATTTCATGTGACTTAACGGCAATGTTCCCACTCAGCTCTATGTGACAGAATGAGTTTGGTGCACAGCTTCTAAGTAACAGGAGGAACAGGGTCAGACCTCCTATCTGGAGGGCCCTCAGCTTCCTCCTTCTCTACTCATTTCTTCCCTCAGTAATAATCTCTCTACTTTCAAGAAGCCTCTGTCCTGCCAACCCCTTTATCTATCAAAATAGACGTCAGATATCAGTCACTTATACCCATTGGTTGTCTGATTTATTTTCTAGAGTGAATGAGTCTTAGTGTGTTACCTCAGCCAAGCCCCTGCCTTTTAAAAAGCCTCATCACTGACGTGTCAAATGAAAAGTGGTACTGCCTTGTTAATTCTCAGGCCTCAACCACAAGGAAGAGGAGAAAATCACAGCATACAGAACAGTCACTCCAAAGACAGATCTGATTTCACTTTGTCATCGTGGGGGCTTGCTGGATCAGAAGAGACACATTCTTTTAATATCTCCCATCAGCTGGCTTCCTCTTCCTCAGGAAGAACTGGACTTGTGCCCTGACTTCTTGTAGGACCTGAACCCTACTTTAGCCTGCATCTGTTCCCCAAGATCCTATGCTGCCAGAAAACAAATTGGGCCTTGTCCCCTCCAGCTGCCCCTTCCTCTTGCCTAAGACTCCCAGATTCGTGTTTTATAGGTTTCCAGCTTATTTGATATTTTAGTTAGTATTTTATAAACAAAATCCTAGAATGCAATCCTGTAGGATTTCTGCCTCATAACCAAGTTTATGAATGAAAAAACATACTAAGTACTTACTACAAGCCAGGTACTGTTCTAAACACTGGGGATGCAAATATAAAAAGAGAGTCCCTGCCTTCATGGAGCTCATATTCCAGTAAGGGGAGACAATACATATGGGGGAGTCCTTGCCAAGGGAGGGTTGTGATCTGGATAGTCAGGGATTGACATGCCCTTTTCAAAGATCGTGGTAGATTTGATTGTAGTTCTTCGAGTGAAAGATGTGTATGATGGGGAGGAGGGGGCAGGGTGGAGATAATAAGCAGTCCTGGGCAGTGTTTGCCGGGGTGAAACATGGCCCCAAGGTCAGATCAGAGTTGAAATCCAGTGGCTTAGCTCCTGGGCATGATCCTTCATGGAGGATTTGAACAGAGCATGGCTGTGGAGAATGACCAAGGGGTGGAATGTCAGACCTTTTCCTCCATTAGAAAAACTGTTGTGTTTTGTTTCATTGAACATCATAGAGCAGGATTTAATTTACACACGCATATACATATATACGTACACATACACATACATACATATTGTATGTTCTATTAGAATGAGCAGTAAGTTTGATTCAGTCAATAGATGAATAAAATTTGTTATAAAATTAGTAGTTAAGCTTTGGGCACAGTTTTCCATTGTCTTTATATTTTCCCCACCTGGGATATTTCTTTTGCCCTTTTGGTCATCCAAATGAGAATGGCTTAAATAATGAATTCTCCGGTATATGTGTTTAAATAATATCCCAGGTTAACAGATCCAGATGCTTTATTAGCTCTCAGCAGCTCAGGTACACATTTTCAGTCTTGCTTTCCCATTTAGTGTTCCACCTATAGGAGGTTACAAGAAATGGGTGAAATGGCATTCAGAGCTGTCATTAAGTTTTATTTCATGTCCTCATTCCTCCAGTGAAGTATTTTGGATCTCAGCACCATATGGAGGTGATCCAGGTTATGCCAGTGGTGTGTGAGCTCTGATAGGCCTATCAACCTAGAAAGACTCTTTTCTGGTCATCTTAGTAGCTTCCTAACCCAATTTGGAGAGGTTCACCACCAGAAGGTTGGCTGCCAGGTGTGGAATTGTTTGGGTCACAGCATCTCAGGAACAGTGCCTCTAAGACATGGAGGAGGGGTCAACCTGTCTTGCTTAAGAGAGTGCCCACAGCCATGAAAGTAGAGAAAATACTTTTGAAGTAAGAACCTCATTATCCATATTATTGAGTTTATCTAAAAGATCAGTCAAGAAGAGATGGTGGGGCGGGGACAGAAAAAGGAAAGGATACAAAAGAAAAATGTGAGAAGTGAAAAGATGAGTTAAATTTAGTTTTTACAAAGGATTAATTAACCAGCATTTATTAAGAGCCCATAGTTAGGAACCATGCATCGTGCTAGGTCCAGGTGATAAAGACAAAAGGAACTAGTCTCTGCTCCCTAGGAATTTCGGGGAGTGGGAGAGACAGGATATGTGTAGGTAAGTAGAAGTGAGGTAATTTGTGGGTGGGGATCTAGAAGTCTGACATCACAAAAGGCTTCTTTTAGAAGGCGGTGTTGGAGAGTGTTGTTCAATGACTTGTGACTCCTTTTGGGGTTTTCTTGGCAAAGATACTGGAATGGTTTGCCATTTCCTTCTCCAGCTCATTTTACAGATGAGGAAACTGAGGCAAACAGAATTAAGTGACTTGCCCAGAGCCACACAAGTGGCTGAGGAAGTGTCTGAGGCCAGATTTGAACTGAGGAAGATGAGGCTTCCTGACTCCAAGCCCAGAGCTTAGCTTCCCAGGTGTTGGAGATTAGTTCTGAAGAAAAGGTCTTCTGAGAGGTGAAGTTGAAGGAGCACATCCCAAGGATGGGGAACAGCCTGTGCAAAGGTATAGAAATGGGAGATAAAGTCTCGTGTAAGGAGCATCAGTCAGGAAGGCCAATCTGGCCTGGCAGCAGAGGGAGTAATGTACATAAGAAGGTTGGAAAGATAGGTTGTGGTCAGGCTGTGAAGGCTTTTAAAAGGCAAACCAAGGTCTTTATATTTGATCCTGATGATTGGAAACCATTGAGTTTATTGAATAGGAGAGTGAAACAATCAGATCTTCACTTTAACAAAGTCACTTTGGCCCACTGTATAGAGGATGGATCAGAGTGAAGGCAGGCCAGGGCACAAAACCCGGCTAGGAGACCTATTCCATTATTGCAGGTGAGAGGCAGTGAAAGGCTGGCCTGCCATGGTGGCCAGCCAAGCTGAGAGGAGGATCAGTGAAAGTGGTGTGGGGTGACAAGATCTATTGATTAATTGGACGCGGGGATGGAGGCAGCCGAGAGAGGAGTTCAGACAACGCCAGTGTCATGAAGCCGAGTCATTGGAAGGATAGCCTTGACAGAAATGAGAGGTTTGGAAGAATAGTGGAGTTTTCACTGGACTCATAATTAGGTTTAAATGCCAAATCTGACCTATGGGTTATAGTAAGTAACAATAATAATACCTAGCATTTATATAGCACCTACTATGTGCTGAGTACTATACAAAGTGCTTTAAAAATATTACTTCATTAGATCTCACAAAAATCCTGGGCAATAGGTGCTATTGTCATCGCCATTTTACAGTTGAGGAGATTGAGGCAAACAGGTATAACTGTGGTCCAAACCAGCAATGGACTTACATGAACCAAACTCATATAATCTAATATAACAAACACTGCCTACTAGGTAGGAGACACTGTTTAGGTGCTGGGAGTACAAAGACAAAATGAGAATTAGTTTCCAGCCTTTCTGCTGTTTCTATTCTGTTGGGGGGACACCAAGTATACATGTGATCTTATGGGAGGGAGCACTAACATGGCATCAGGGAAGGTTTCCAGTAGGAGATGAGCTGAACCTTAGAGGAAGCTGGGGATTCTAGGAGGTAGGGGTAAGGAAGGAGTGTATTCCAGGCATGAGGGGACAGGAATCCTGATTTCAAAGAATGGTAAGTTAGGAAATAGTGTGGTTCATTGGCTGGAGCATTGACTGGAGTCTGGGGTTTGGATTCAGAACCTACCTCTGATATCTACTATATGACTTGGGCAAACTGCACAACTTCCCTGGACCTCAGTTTCCTCATCTGTAAAATGGACCACACAGCCTCTGAGATCCTTCTGAGCTATTTCTCTTTTATCCTAAAAGTGAACTAGCTTGGTTGTTAGACCCATTTAGTGAAGGTTATGATGTTAATATTTTGCATAATAAAAGTTCATAGAATAATCTAGCCAATGTGAAATGTCAAAAAGTAGACAGGCGCCATATCATTAAGGGCTTTAAAGTATATATCTTGGAGGTGTCTCAAAAATTGTATCTGGGGCAGCTAGGTGGTGCAAAGGATAGAGCACTGGCCCAGGAGTCAGGAAGACCCAAGTTCAAATCCAGCCTGAGACACTTGACACTTACTAGGTGTGTGACCCTGGGCAAGTCACTTAATCCCAATTGCCTCGCAAAATAAATTAAAAAAAAAAAATACATCCTTTGGCTCTTGCCCTGACCCAAAGTTTCACCTGGGAATGTCTGAATTTGGCTGCTTTTTAGCTCCCTCCTGGCAGTTTTCACTTTCATCCTGCAAGTAACCAAGCCACAAAGACATCTGAATTTCAGCAATCCTATTACATGGCAGATAAAAAGCTGGAAAGGAAATGGTTGTATGTAGTGCTGCTTCCACCCCCCCATATACTCCTTTTGTTCCCCAAGACATGGGAAATGGGTTGTGGGTCTAAGATCAAAGTGTCCCATCTGCCCCATAGTGCCTTACACATCCTAATAGGGGCTTACTGTGTTTGTTGAATTAAATTTCCATCTAAAGTAGGAAAAATAACAAATCTGATTTCTCTCATGAAGTGTCTTGTAAAAAAAAATGGCTTATAATTTAACACATGCTTGCTGTTATGTTTCTTTAAACTAGCTCTGAAACAAGTTTGTTGAAGGCACACTTAAAACCATTATTGTTTCAAGTGACTCCCATCCATTAAAAAAAAAAAATAGTGACTTATGTAGGTTCTAAGGATCAGTCTTCTGGTCCTCAGAAAGTTGTGTAAATTCAGAATATACCGTCTCCTATCTAAAATCTGGCAAGGTTAAACTAGAATTTCTGCACCCTCCATCTTTTCCACCCCAAGTTTTATTCATGCCCTTAATACTCTGACCCCTAGGCAGTCATTTTCAGATACAGAAAGTGGTTTTGTCCAGTGTAATTACAGAGACAGACAAATGTTGAGATTAAGTCTGGTGATGTCTCACAAGAATGCAATCAGCAGATGTCAGGTATTTCAAAACATTCATATAGGATTTATTTACAATGTCAGTTGCTAATAAACACAAATTTAGGAAACGTCTAGGTAAGGTTTCTTAGAATTAAGTTGAAAGACAGGTTGTCCGCTATGTCTGAGAAGCCAGTACTGTCTGCCTCAGACTTAGGTTAGAATGTGCTTGGGGTGATAATATTCAGCACAGTTAAACACAGAACAGCTTAAGCAATTTACAAAGCATTTTCACATACATTATCTCATGTGTTCCTCACGACATCCCTGTGAAGTAAACACTGTAAATAGTATTAATTATCCCCATTTTATGGAGGAGAAAGCAGACTTTGAAAAGTTAAGTGACTTGCCTAAGGTCATACAACTAGTACGAGGCAGCTCATGAGTCTATGACCAGCCAGTGCTGGCATCTTCTTTCCTTCCTATGTTATCAGGCAAACACCTTTGTCTTTTAGTGACAGAAATGACTCCAGTTACCTTGACCGTGGCCACCTTTGTGTGGTGTGGAAGAGGATAGATATCAGGTACCTTCTACGTAAGTGTTAGGAAGGCCTGAGAATTCTTTGTTTAGTGTTGCTGTAATCTCATTCTTTTAAAGCTGTTACAAATGGCTAAAATGAAATGGCTGAATTGAAACCATTTTTATGGAGGAGTTTTTATCTAGAATTTATAGGGGGAAAGTCCAGGATTTGGCATCAAAAAGACCTGAGTTCAAATCCTAACTCTTCTATTGCCTCCCTTGGGCAAGTGACAACCTCTCTGTGTCTAGGTTAGGCTCGGTGACATCTAAGGTCTTTCACGCTTCATGATCTATCCATAATATTCCAAATTCTGAGCAATGTCGAACTTCCAGAATTTCAAATTCCAGCCGTCATTGGTGGTCCTCAGCCAATTCTATTCAAAGCACCTAGGCAGGTAGCATAAAGATTAACTCACAACTGTCTGGTTTTTGCTGGGCTTGTCCGGCATAGAGCTTTCCCCGATGCCTGGCCCCATCACTTCCTCTCGCCAGAGTGCCTCCGCCACTTATGGGCACTACCCCAATGCTGTCCAGTTTGGCCAAGGGAGCTATTGACTCAAGCCTAATATCAGAGAAGGAAGGGGTAGACAAAGTAGATGAAGAGAGTGAAGAGAGAGAGGAAATTGTGGTATCCAGAAGAGGAAGACCATGATGATGTGGTCTGTATTGAGATTGCCTGAGGGATTAAACACAACAACAACAACAAACAAAGCACACTTACAGGACTTTAGATGATGCATTTGACCCTCACAACAACGCTTTGAGGTAAGTGCTATTATTCCCATTTTACAGATGAGGGAACTGAGGCTAAGAGACTTGCCCAGGGTCACACAACTGGTAAGTTTTGGACTCAAGATTCAAACCCCCAATCTTCCCAACACCACCTCCAGCACTACCCAAGGCTTGTTCTCTAGGAATGTTTAGTTTAGAGACAAGAAACTTAGAGGGTTCATGATAATTGTCTTCAAGCTCTTGAAGGGTTATTGTGAAGAAGACTTACACTGCTCAGCCCCAGAAAGCCAAACTAGGAGCAATGGGTCTATGATAATTACAAAGAAATGTAAAAACTTCCTAATAATTAGTGCTCATGGTCTTTTCCAGGAGTTTCTGGTCACTAGAGAGCTTTGACCATCTAAGCACGTTACAGTGTGGATTCTTATTCAACAATGGATGGGAATTCAGATTGGCCCCTGACATCTCTTTCAACTTTGAAGACTGTGTGAAGGGAGAGAAGAGGTTGGGAGGAGGGAAGACGGAGATAGGGGAAGACAGAAAGAAAAACTGTCAATCAAGTACTAAAACTGATTCTCATTATTCTAGAACTTCAGAGTAGGAAAGCATTCTAAAGAGAATCTCATTGAACTCGCCCTTTTCTAGCCGAGAGATCCAAGGGCCAGAACGGACCCCTCAGCTAATAAGCCGTTTCCTGACTCTTCTCCCATCATATCGCACTCTCTCTTTTCTTGGCTGGGGAACTCTGCAGGCAATTCCTAGAGGAGAATGTTGGAGGGCAGTGCTCATTTAGATGTTGAAGTTTTGATGTGATTTATAAACAAAACACCATTTTCATTTAAAGTCTAAGTTTGTGTCCAGTCCTTGATAACAGCTGATAGAAGGGACAGACCCTGGTTTCAGGATGAGTGGGATCGCCTAAGACAAGGCGAATTGCAGAATGTGTGGATGAGTGGGAAAGACTTCAGTGGATCCAGGAACAAACCTTGCTGTCATGTTCAAAGCCATCCACCACTGCACCCAAAATGGAAAACGTTTTGATGCTTGAAGTGACAGCATGAGGAAAGATCAGTGGAAGGCCCAAAGGAGGGAAAGTCTGGCACAAGAAAGCTTTGGTTCATGCATTTTTAAAGGCACATGTGCTTTTTCTGTACCACCAGGAGTGCTGATGAGGTAAGCATTCAAAGAACAGAAAGCCAGTTAGCTCTCAATCACAGAAAGACCAAGACTCGAATCTCTAATGCCTCTACTTGCTCCAGAGGAAAATCCCCTGTGAGAAGAAAAATAGACACCAGCAAAAGACACCCAGGACCTAGTTTCTGATCCTGGCTTTAAATGCCCTCCACAAACTGGCTTCAGCCTCCCGTGTGGGGTTTATCTCACCTTCTTCCCCTTCAAATCGCTTATGCTGCCACCAAACTGGCCCACTCACTGCTCCTCACACACTTTGCAATTTCCAGTGCTTGTGCCTTTATTTGCTCATGCAGTTTCCTATGCCTGGAATGCCTTCCCTTCCATCCCTCATCCTCTCATCCTTCAAGGTCCACCTGAAATCCTCCATGAAATTTTTCCTGATTCCTTCACCCTCAAATGGAACTCTCTTTCCTCTGAGCTCTTATGGTGCCTCTCGTGTTCTGAGACCACTCTATTTTTTCTTGTATATATTTGTGCCTATCTTATCTCTCCTACCTGAGTTTAAGCCCCTTGATGCCGGGCATCATGACTTGTTCCTATTTGGATACCCCTTACTACCTGTGCACATCGTAGGTGCTCAGCAAGTGTTTGTTGAATGAATGTTGAGTAAGTTTCTCAAGAAGCTGTCATGTGGACTTTGGTCTCTCCCAAAGTTTCAACATCCTAAACAAAATCTACCCATAGAAACCCTTTCTAAATTCTATGGTCCTAATTCTATGATCTTTCCTAGTTCATCACAATAAAAATGGAGCAGAAATGATGATGATAAGAATTTTAGCAGGTGCTCAATAAATACTTGGTTTAATAATTGGTTTGTACTACATCATGTTAGATAGGCCACATGGCTGTCTTGTTTATTTGTATTAAAGAACATTCTGTGCCACATGACTAACAACTTCCTCGGATGCCTCATTAGGATATGGGGGCAACCTTGGGTTCTATGCCACATCCCCCCAACTAGTTAAGGATGGCTTACATCTCTAACGAGTTGTTAGAGATAGGGAAGCACTCTTTCTAGGAAGGGAGCAGAAACAATTCTCTCACCTCTTCTCCAAAAAAGGCTGTGGATTGAACTAAAAGAATCTGTATTAAGATGCTCCTAATGGACACTCAGATGGCTACCTTCTTGCTTTGTGTTCCATCTGACCTTGCTGTTGGCACCATATTGGTAAATTCAGAAGGGCAAATCCTCAAAAAGTCATCCATGGTATAACACAGAGAGAGCCAAACTCAAAGTCATGAAGACCTAGGTTTAAATCCCACCTTTGACACATACTGGCCATGTGACCATAGGCGTCACCTAACTTGTCACTGCTCTAGATCTCTAAAAATTATAAGTTGCAGAGATGCCAACCTGCATTGGTAGGGGGAATTTCTTTACCTGGCAGTTCCTTATATCATTGAAATAGTTTCAGTCTTCATCTTAAATCTTCAAAAGAAATACTTGAAGGGGAATAAGGATGCTATATTACAAAATGGAAACTGCCCATTTGTTTGTATTCTAAAAGCTTTTGTCTCTGGGACATCTGTACTTCTCTCGACTACTCTTAAACATGCTAACTTGACCAAAGAGCCAGGGTTCCCCTAACACACTTTCCCTCTAGGGCTGTGCCTTTTTCCCCTGTAAGAGAAAAATGAAAACTTGAATTCAACCAGATCCTATATAAACAGACACCAGAGGAGAGTGACTATACTTTGCCACAAATGACAAGAAAGTCACTTCAAATCTCTTCTCTTCACAGAGCCGGTTCTCCTTTATAAGCTTTTGCTAACAAATCAGTCCTAAGGAACCTTGCCAGGAAGGGCAAATGAGAGGAAGTCGTCATGAGTGGTTTGTGGGTTTTCTTGAATGGTTGTCCTTTGGCCATACGGTCCTATTTCCCCCTTAAAGGCCCTAAAAGCTGAGACACTTTCTCCAGAGTACTACTGGCATGTTTAAAAAATAAAAAGGCATCCCAAGAAAGTAAATCTATAAATATGAACTATGCAGAAACGGACGTCTGAGTACACAAGTTCTTTCAACTACTCCAAAGAGACACCTTTGGGGGTCCTGCTTCTCATGCTATAGTAGATGTGTTTCCCCTTTTCCTTCTGTTCATGATGAAGGTTCCCAGAGCCACCAGGGGGATGCACATGGTGGAAGCAGCCACAAGAAGGCCAATCAATGCCAGGGCAAAACCAGGATAATCTTTGGTTACCAGGTGACCCTGAAAGCAAGAAATAAAATGTGACCAGGAAGCAATGTAGGGAGGAGAGAAAACACTACCACCCTTCCCCTACCTTGAATGACTTGGAGTGGACCTTGGCAACTGATGTCTTACCGTGCTGAGAGACCATGGGGAATCTGGTGACTGAGATCTGAGGATTTCTGCTCAGAGCTCCAGTGAGAAGCATTGAGGGGCAGGATACGGTGAGAAAAGTGCTGAGTTTGGGTTAAATCCTGAGGGCAGTCCCTAGGGCTGCCGCCTAGCTGTGCATCTTTGTGATTTAACTGTGTCTGCAGTGATTTAACCACCTGATCCCACTGTAGAATAATGGAGATTGGCCCCTAAGGTCTTTCCTAGCTTTAAAATGAGCAGAATCAACAAGCATTTATGAAATGTCTACTGGGTGCTTGGCACTGCTGGGGAAACACGGACAAAAATGAAACAACTTCTACCCTCAGGGAGCTTACATTCTATGGGGAGGGAGCAACAATATGTACATAAATAAGTATATAGACAATAAATGCAAAGTAAAAAAATTTGGAGGGAGATTGTTAGGAGCTGAAGTGAAGAAAGAAAGGCTTTTTGTAGAAGGTGTCGCTTGATGGGGCAGCTAGGTGGCGCAGTGGATAGATCACCGGCCCTAGAGTCAGGAGGACGTGAGTTCAAATGTGACCTCAGACACATGATACTTACTAGCTGTGTGACCCTGGGCGAGTCACTTAACCCCAATTGCCTCAACGAAAGAAAAAAAAAGTGTCGCTTGAGCCGAGTTCTGAAAGAAGCAAAGGATTCTGAGAGGACAAGATGTAGTTTGTACTTTGCAGGCATGGGACATAGCAGTGCAAAGACTCAGAGATGGGTCATAAAGTGTTCTGTGTTAGTAACAGCAAGAATGAATAGGTGGGGAGGGGGGCAGCTAGGTGGCACAGTAGTTAGAGCTCTGTCCTTGGAGTCAAAGGACCTGAGTTCAAATCTGGCCTCAGACTCATGACACTAGCTGTGCTACGTCACTTAACCCTGATTACCTTACCAAAAAAAAAAAAGCAAAAAAGAATGGGTGGGTATAATATGTTTTAAAATTTAAAAGACAGAGGGCAAATTGTGGAGAGATTTGAAAAACTAGTCTTAGGGCAGCTTTAAGTTTTCAGTTAATCCTTCATCTTGATCCTAGAGGTCTCAGGAAGCCACTAGAGTTTACTGAGTAGGGTTGTAACATGTTCAGACTAGCACTTCAGGAAAATCACCTTGGCTGATGTGTGGAGAATGAATGGGAGAGAGAAAAGATTGGAGACAGGGAGACTATTTAGGAAACTATTACAATAAAGTATCCAAGTGAGAGGAGGTGAGGGCTTGAATTAGGTTGGTAGCTATGTGAGGAGAAAGAAGGAAACAGGATACGAGGGATTTTGTAGAGAGAGAAATGAGAAGATGAGTTAATTGATTGGATAGTTGGGGAGAAGAATAACGCCAATGTTGTGAATTTGAGTAACTAAAAAGATGGTGCTGCCTGAAACAGAAATGGGGAGGACCAGAAGGAAGGTGGTTTGGGGGATAAAGATAATGACCTCAGATTTGAATGTGTGGAGTTTGAGGTGCTTATGGGATGCCAGATTGGAATGTCAAAGAGACAGTCGGAGACGAATGGCTGCATCCCAGGAGAGAGACGAGGGCTTAATCTATAGATCTGGGAATCATCTGTCTAGAGATAATAATTGAACTCTAGGGAACTGGTGGATATACCGAGTAAGAAGGTGTTGAGGGAGAACAGAATATGTCCCAGGACAGAGCTTTGGGGTACAGCCACAGTTAGGGGGCATGATATAATGACCCAACACAAGAGATTGAGAAGTAACAGTCAGACAACTAAGAGAGATCAGTGACACAAAAATCCGAAAGGAGAGAAAACGTGTGCAATAAGCACCTACTATGTGCCCGGCACTGTGCAAAGTGCTTTACAAATATCTCATTTGGTCCTCCAAATCACCTTGAGAGGTAGGTGCTATTATTATCCTCATTTTACACTTGAGGAAATTGAGGCAGGCGGAAGTTAAGTGATTTGCCCAGGGTCACCCAGCTAGTAAGTGTCTGATGCTGGATTTGAACTGAGGTCTTCCTGATTCCCAGCCCAGCGCTCCACCACATAGCTGCTTCCTTGCAAATGTTATCTCCTTTGAGGAGAGATAGATATGATTTAGAAATGTGAGCACTTTCTCAAGAGCACATATAATAAAATATCGAACAAAAGTGTGAGGGAGCAGAGACAAGGGATCCTTGGATGGAGCTGATCTTTCATATTTTCCTAGCAGAGCAAACCAGAATCTTGGTTGCCTGAAGTCGTTGCTCTGGAGGGAGAGGGTACCTCATAGGATCATTCATCCGGAAGCAGAAGGGACCTTAGAAGCTCTCTAATCCACCCCTTCTCCTTTGCCATGTTAGGAAATAGAAGTTCAACAAGACCAAGTGATTTGCTCAGTGTCAGTCAGGAATCAGTAGGTAAAGTAAGGATTGACCCTAGGTCCTTGGACTCCAGGACTCCTTCCACTATAACCATAATGCCTTTCCTTGGCATCATGATGGTTGACTGGTGTACCTTGTCCCACAATTTAGTCATGAGCAGCATCCAATTTGTGAATCCCTTCCAGGGTTGGGCAGACAGACCCATTCTCATTGGACCCCTTGATGTGCAGTTGGTTTGAAAAATTCTTGCTGAAATCCAAACCAGTCAGTAGGTGGCAGCACCATGCTAAGAAGCTCACCTTCCTCTCAAAGAGACAGTCAGGCTTGGAAAGACATTTATTTATTTATTTAAAAAAATTTTTAGAAATATATTTTATTTACCCCAACCCCCCACCCTGGCCAATTATGTATTAAAACGATTTTTTAAACATTTGTGATCTTTTTTAAGTTTTGAGTTCCAAATTCTATCCCCTCTTTCCCCTCTCCCTCTTGAGATGATAAGCAGTCAGATATAGCTTATACATGTATAATCACGTAAAACATTTTAGACTCTGTGTGTGTGTGTGTGTGTGTGTGTGTGTGTATGTCCATGATTAATTGCAGCCTTCTAGGGGTGGGAGGAAGGGGGGAAAGGAACAAAGTAAAAAGTGCACAGCAGAGAACAAAAGAAAACTTAGAAGGATGCAATGAAAAGATGGGCAGCTCTCAACACTAAGCGTGGTATTTATTACATAGGCTTTCTTGAAATGGAAATTTATTTCTATATATTTTGAATCCTCTCTACTGTGTACATGACATATCTTTTTCTTTTCTTATTTTGTATTTAAGTTTATAATGTTTCTTTTTCTTTTCTTGTGTATTTAAGTTTTAGAAAAATTTTAAAATTTTTAAAAAATTTTTTGGAAAGGCATTTAGAGAGACTTTAAGGCTCAAGGCTTTTACTCTGAAGACAGAAAGGCTATACAGACAGTTCTCCCTTTATATAAATTCATATTGCACAAATTCAACTTCATATAAAAAATTCTAAAAGAAATCTGCATTCCAAAAAACCCGCTATGTTACCTTGGCAGTACAGTATTGTTCTCTCTTTCTCTCTCCACTCCTGCCCCTTGGCTCAGCGCTCCATAGGTGCATGGCCCCCTTCCTTTTTCTCTCTCTCCCTTCTCTATATCAGGAGGCAAATTCCCATTACCAGCATAGAGGTCAATGGAATTATCCACTTATGTAAAGTAAGAACTGTCTATGTTTTGGTGAAGTTAATTCAAAGGCCTTATGCCCCAAGAGAAAAGGCTGTTTTTATCAGTTCTGTGAAAAAAAAAAATGACTCAAATGTCCTAGTAACTGAGTAAGAGGAATGAAGCCCCCTGGGTTAAAGGTTAAAGGTCACAGATTTAAAACTGAAAGGAACTCTTGGAGGTTGGTTAGCCCAGCCATTCATTTTCCAGATGAGAAAACAGACCCAAAGGGGTGAAGTTAACTTGTCTCAGGTTATATGGGTATTAAGGGGCAAAGACTCCAAATCCAGCCTTCTTGCCACTGTGTTATGTTGCTACCATAAAACTGCAATGACAAGAGACCACAGTAATGCCAAAGGACACAACACTGTAATACCCAGCAGGCATTTCGCTGCAGTGAGAAGACGGATGAATTGGGGGACCAAGGCTCTCATGTATTACCTGCCTGCGTGTGACCTTGGGTGGGTCCCTGACTTCTCCAGGACTCAGTGGGCCTGGGGGGCTAATTCATGGCCTGGACCCACTTAGGAAGGGGGGAATTACCTGTGTTGCATCCCAGGCTTGGTACGTCAGGGTTCCTGCGAGGATATAGTCCACCAGGTAAAAAATAAGTAGGCTGATGATTAGCAAGGGACTTACAAAAGCCCACATGATTTTCCAATACCAGCTTAGCTTGCACCCAGTCATGACTTGAAGGTCGTTTTCAAATCTATTAAAAAACACAGAATGAGAATAAGGGGTAGGGAAGAGATGAGGTCCAAACCATCCCAGCTAAGGGAAGGGAGAAGAGGCTCAGATAGCCCAGTGGACAATCCAGAATCTGGATTGGAAGACACCACCAAGTGTTTAATTTGTATTTGTGTCTCACACACATATTCAAGGATCCACGCCCAAGTTGGCTCACTTATCCGCTCGTAGGTCCAGCTCTGGTGTCCCTTCCTCGTTTGGCATGGGCAGGGTGGGCTGGGGCAGGGGAGGGGCTGCACCCAAGATGCGGCTTGGCATTAACAACCCAAATAACCAATGAAGAGAATCATCTGCTTGGGGATATTCAGGAGGAATGTGCCTAGTGACAAAGATGAATTCTGAATGGGGGTCTCTGGGGGGAGCTCAGGCGGCTTGGAGAGAGAACCATGGCACTTCTTAGTGACTCAAGGCCTCATTAGCCGATTGGCAGATGGCTCCGACCTTAGCTCTTTCTTCTCCCTGGTGGGGACGTACCTCAGCCGTGTCACTGCTCATAA